ACACGGCACCTCTGGGGCATCTATGACAGAACAGGGCACCTCTGGGGAATCCATGACAGAACTGGGCACCCGCTGGGGAATCCATGACAGAACAGGGCACCTCTGGGGAATCAATGACACAACACGGCACCTTTGGGGCATCTTTGACAGAACAGGGCACCCTCTGGGGAATCCATGACAGAACAGGGCACCTCTGGGGAATTCATGACAGAACAGGGCACCTTCTTTGGAATCCATGACAGAGCAGGGCACCTCTGGGGCATCTATGACAGAACAGGGCACCTCTGGGGAATCCATGACAGAACTGGGCACCCGCTGGGGAATCCATGACAGAACAGGGCACCTCTGGGGAATTTATGACAGAACAGGGCACCTCTGGGGCACTTATGACAGAACTGGGCACCTCTGGGGAATTCATGACAGAACAGGGCACCCTCTGAGGAATTGATGACAGAACAGGGCACCTCTGGGGAATTGATGACAGAACAGGGCACCTCTGGGGAATTGATGACAGAACAGAGCACCCTTTGGGGAATTGATGACAGAACAGGGCACCTCTGGGGCATCTATGACAGAACAGATCCCCAACTGGGGAATCCATGACAGAACAGGGCACCTCTGGGGAATCCATGACAGAACACGGCACCTCTGGGGCATCTATGACAGAACAGGGCACCTCTGGGGAATCCATGACAGAACTGGGCACCCGCTGGGGAATCCATGACAGAACAGGGCACCTCTGGGGAATCCATGACAAAACACGGCACCTCTGAGACTTCTATGACAGAACAGGGCACCTCTGGGGAATCTATGACAGAACAGGGCACCTCTGGGGCATCTATGACAGAGAAGGGCACCTCTGGGGAATTCATGACAGAACGGGGCACCTCTGGGGAATTGATGACAGAACAGCTAGGGCACCTCTGGGGAATTGATGACAGAACAGAGCACCCTCTGGGGAATTCATGATAGAACGGGTCACCCTCTGGGGAATTGATGACAGAACAGCTGGGGCACCTCTGGGGAATGCAATACAGAACAGAGCACCCTCTGGGGAATTGATGACAGAACAGGGCACCTCTGGGGCATCTATGACAGAACAGGGCACCCTCTGGGGAATCCATGACAGAACAGAGCACCCTCTGGGGAATTCATGACAGAACAGGTCACCCTCTTGGGAATTGATGACAGAACAGCTAGGGCACCTCTGGGGAATGCAATACAGAACAGAGCACCCTCTGGGGGATTGATGACAGAACAGAGCACCCTCTGGGGAATTCATGGGCACTTCTGGGGAATTCATGACAGAACAGGGCACCTCTGGGGCATCTATTACAGAACAGATCCCCCACTGGGGAATCCATGACAGAACAGGGCACCTCTGGGGAATTCATGACAGAACAGGGCACCTTCTTTGGAATCCATGACAGAACACGGCACCTCTGGGGCATCTATGACAGAACAGGGCACCTCTGGGGAATCCATGACAGAACTGGGCACCTGCTGGGGAATCCATGACAGAACAGGGCACCTCTGGGGAATCCACGACAAAACACGGCACCTCTGAGACTTCTATGACAGAACAGGGCACCTCTGGGGAATCTATGACAGAACAGGGCACCTCTCGGGCATCTATGACAGAGAAGGGCACCTCATGGGAATTCATGACAGAACGGGGCACCTCTGGGGAATTGATGACAGAACAGCTGGGGCACCTCTGGGGAATTGATGACAGAACAGAGCACCCTCTGGGGAATTCATGATAGAACGGGTCACCCTCTGGGGAATTGATGACAGAACAGCTAGGGCACCTCTGGGGAATGCAATACAGAACAGAGCACCCTCTGGGGAATTCATGACAGAACAGAGCACCCTCTGGGGAATCCATGACATAACAGAGCACCCTCTGGGGAATTCATGACAGAACGGGTCACCCTCTGGGGAATTCATGACAGAACGGGTCACCCTCTGGGGAATTCATGACAGAACGGGTCACCCCCTGGGGAATTGATGACAGAACAGGGTACCTCTGGGGAATCCATGACAGAACAGAGCAACCTCTGGGGAATTCATGACAGAACGGGACAACCTCTTGGGAATTGATGACAGAACAGCTAGGGCACCTCTGGGGAATGCAATACAGAACAGAGCACCCTCTGGGGAATTGATGACAGAACAGAGCACCCTCTGGGGAATTCATGACAGAACGGGTCACCCTCTGGGGAATTGATGACAGAACAGCTAGGGCACCTCTGGGTAATGCAATACAGAACTGAGCACCCTCTGTGGAATTCATGACAGAACAGGGCACCTCTGGGGAATCCATGACAGAACACGGCACCTTCTGGGGAATCTATGACAGAACAGGGCACCTCTGGGGAATTCATGACAGAACGGGTCACCCTCTGGGGAATTGATGACAGAACAGGGCACCTCTGGGGGATTGATGACAGAACAGGGCACCCTCTGGGGAATTGATGACAGAACAGGACACCTCTTGGGAATTGATGACAGAACAGAGCACCCTCTGGGGAATTGATGACAGAACAGGGCACCTCTGGGGCATCTATGACAGAACAGATCCCCCTTTTGGGAATCCATGACAGATCAGGGCACCTCTTGGGAATTCATGACAGAACAGGGCACCTTCTTTGGAATCCATGACAGAACACGGCACCTCTGGGGCATCTATGACAGAACAGGGCACCTCTGGGGAATCCATGACAGAACTGGGCACCCGCTGGGGAATCCATGACAGAACAGGGCACCTCTGGGGAATCCATGACAGAACACGGCACCTCTGAAACTTCTATGACAGAACAGGGTACCTCTGGGGAATCTATGACAGAACAGGGCACCTCTGGGGCATCTATGACAGAACAGGGCACCTCTGGGGAATTCATGATAGAACGGGGCACCTCTGGGGAATTGATGACAGAACAGCTAGGGCACCTCTGGGGAATTGATGACAAAACAGAGCACCCTCTGGGGAATTCATGACAGAACGGGTCACCCTCTTGGGAATTGATGACAGAACAGCTAGGGCACCTCTGGGGAATGCAATACAGAACAGAACACCCTCTGGGGAATTGATGACAGAACACGGCACCTCTGGGGCATCCATGACAGAACAGGTCACCCTCTGGGAAATTGATGACAGAACAGGGCACCCTCTGGGGAATTCATGACAGAACAGAGCACCCTCTGGGGAATTCATGACAGAACAGGTCACCCTCTGGGGAACTGATGACAGAACAGGTCACCCTCTGGGAAATTCATGACAGAACAGGTCACCCTCTGGGGAATAAATGGTAGAACAGGGCACCTTCTGGGGAATTCATGACAGAACAGGGCACCCTCTGGGGAATTCATGACAGAACAGGTCACCCTCTGGGAAATTGATGACAGAACAGGTCACCCCCTGGGGAATTCATGACAGAACAGGTCACCCTCTGGGAAATTGATGACAGAACAGGGCACCCTCTAGTGAATTCATGACAGAACAGGTCACCCTCAGGGGAATAAATGGTAGAACAGGGCACCTTCTGGGGAATTCATGACAGAACAGGGCACCCTCTGGGGAATTCATGACAGAACAGAGCACCCTCTGGGAAATTGATGACAGAACAGGTCACTCTCTGGGGAATAAATGGTAGAACAGGGCACCTTCTGGGGAATTCATGACAGAACAGGTCACCCTCTGGGGAATTCATGACAGAACAGGTCACCCTCTGGGAAATTGATGACAGAACAGGTCACCCCCTGGGGAATTCATGACAGAACAGGGCACCCTCTGGGAAATTGATGACAGAACAGGGCACCCTCTAGGGAATTCATGACAGAACAGGTCACCCTCAGGGGAATAAATGGTAGAACAGGGCACCTTCTGGGGAATTCATGACAGAACAGGGCACCCTCTGGGGAATTCATGACAGAACAGGTCACCCTCTGGGGAATTCATGACAGAACAGGTCACCCTCTGGGGAATTGATGACAGAACAGGGCACCCTCTGGGGAATTCATGACAGAACAGGTCACCCTCAGGGGAACAAATGGTAGAACAGGGCACCCTCTGGGGCATCTATGACAGAACAGGGCACCCTCTGGGGAATCCATGACAGAACAGAGCACCCTCTGGGGAATTCATGACAGAACGGGTCACCCTCTTGGGAATTGATGACAGAAGAGCTAGGGCACCTCTGGGGAATGCAATACAGAACAGGTCACCCTCTGGGGAATAAATGGTAGAACAGGGCACCTTCTGGGGAATTCATGACAGAACAGGGCACCCTCTGGGGAATTCATGACAGAACAGGTCACCCTCTGGGAAATTGATGACAGAACAGGTCACCCCCTGGGGAATTCATGACAGAACAGGTCACCCTCTGGGAAATTGATGACAGAACAGGGCACCCTCTAGGGAATTGATGACAGAACAGGTCACCCTCAGGGGAATAAATGGTAGAACAGGGCACCTTCTGGGGAATTCATGACAGAACAGGGCACCCTCTGGGGAATTCATGACAGAACAGGGCACCCTCTGGGGAATTCATGACAGAACAGGTCACCCTCTGGGGAATTGATGACAGAACAGGGCACCCTCTGGGGAATTCATGACAGAACAGGTCACCCTCAGGGGAACAAATGGTAGAACAGGGCACCTCTGGGCCATCTATGACAGAACAGGGCACCCTCTGGGGAATCCATGACAGAACAGAGCACCCTCTGGGGAATTCATGACAGAACGGGTCACCCTCTTGGGAATTGATGACAGAACAGCTAGGGCACCTCTGGGGAATGCAATACAGAACAGGTCACCCTCTGGGGAATTGATGACAGAACAGACAATACATCACCGAGAAGACGCCCCGACAGAAAAGGCAACCGTGTTGGGCACACCAGGGCCAAAAGAGACCCCAAATATCCCCATATGATATAATTACATCGTGCTACTTCATTTTATGCATCCATGTTAAGATATGTTTTTAAATTTGTTTCAGTTTTACGAGAGTTTAAAGAATTGTTACGTAAACAGGCTACCGTAGAGGCGTTCACCGAGTGGCTTGACACAGTGGTGGAGCAAAAGGTCATCAAGGTACGCTCTCCCTAGACACTCACCTCTTTAAACTGAACCCCCCTTTCATCAACCTTGCTATATACTTGAGGCAAAGGTAACAGATCGTTTTATTTATCATTGTGTAATGTTAAGCTCATTAATCAAACGTCCTACCTCATGTGTACATATGTTGTGTTGTGTAGAGACTGACGAGAATTGCAATAGCCGATGTAAAAATTCAAAGGGTTTAAAAGTTTCAAATTTCAAATTTTTATTGTTCATCCCACAAGAAGTTACTTTCATTCTCCATCAGAGATAAACAACACGGGCAGAATCGTGGGTCTAGGATTGATTTGAAAAGATATTTTTCAAGAAATGCTAGAAACCAGGTTTTGTTCGCTAGACATGTTGTTTATCCTGTCAAAATAAATTACGTGATTTAAAGCAGTGACCGAAGGCATAACCTGTCCACGAACAAACATCCCCAACCCTACCTCCCCCCTCCCCCCTATTAGTAGATAAAACGGTTGGTCCATAAGTAAAGTGGATCACCACAGACACAGTTCATAATCTTGACTCGATGATATGGAAACACTGTAAACCGAGTGATCATCGATCAATCAAACCGATTACTGACACATTGGATGTTTTGCACGTACACCAACATCAATAGCAAGTCGAGAGTCTTTAAACTGTGTCTTGTTGTCGTAAGCCTTTGTTCTGGACTTCTAGAATGCAAATTGTAATTATTTGTTTAGTTTATTCCTAAACTGAATAACACAGCTCTCAAATAAATACAAGTGATATTTGAATTGTTTTTGTTACTTTAATCCAAGCAACGGCGTTATTTGAACAATAAGGAGCCCTCATGTTGTTATCGAACGACCATCTACACAACTCACTTACCAACCCATTAGGTAGGCCACAGCGACTTTAGTCTGACGCGTGATTACATATGTATCTCCCCATAACAGTGTAAGCTTTTAAGTAAAGTATTTAGAGGATTACTCCAACCCTCCTAATTTGGCTTTAAGGGGACAACTTAGACCCTTTTAGAGAAGACTTAGATCGTCCAGGAGTTTTAAATCGCACCAAACAAATTCAGAGGGTTATAAAAGCCAACGAATATTTTCGGTACCGTTGTCAAATATTGATAAAGGAAGTCATTGTACAAGGGAAAAAAACAAGCATAATCGGGCTTAAATGGACTCTTTCGAGTGTCCATGATCCGCAAGCAAAGGCTGAAGTGTTAAGACATGATATTATTCGTATTTAGTCGGCTTGTTTTCACGTTTTAACTATCGCATTCTCAATTCGCTTATATGGCGCGTGTGTATTAAGAATATCATCTTCCACAGCGGTGGTATGGTGGTGAAGGTTTGTCTGGGTTGAGAAGGGATTATGTCATTCTGCATGGAGTGTGGGTGATAACTCTTGTTGAAGTTCGCGACTCGGGTATTGGTGGTGCGCGGCCATCAATCAAGATGCTATAGATATACTGACATAGAGGGGTTAATCTTGTTAAATCGGGGATAGGGTTATTATATTTTAGTACGGGTGAAATTTGGGAACAACAAGCTGGCGAATAAATAATACCCCTTATAGTGTGAGAAGCGTCACTGAAGAACACCCTTACTTCAAATTATTCTGAAACTGAAACATTATACAGAATTTAACGTTAAATTCAAGTGGTTTCGATTTCATAAATTTCAAAATAAGGGTTTGTCGGTAGGAAACTTGTTTGTTCGTTGAGTAAGTTGAAGTACAGGGTTTGATAAAAATGCAAAGGGCATTGTTCGGCAGTATAAATAAAATATGTTTACTCTCGAACAATAATTGCATCTACCCTTAAACGTTGGTTATGTCTTTCTGAAAATGAATATCCTGTATAATGTAATGAAAGTAAAATAAAAAAGGGGATTTTTTTGTGTGTTTTTTTTTTGTCGGATGATGGGTTTTTTAAACAGTCGCAGTTTACTAACGGCGTGACATCGGCATAGCCAAGGAAATAATTCACCGAAACCAGGGCGAAATCAAATACAACACTTTGAACAAAGGGATAACGATATCAATATGATATATAGAAGAAAGCATATATTTGTTAAATATATAATATAATTTCAAATATTTAAGACAAAAGACATGGCCAGTATTTGGCAATTGTTTTAAATTGCATTATAAATGAATACCAATATTTCATTAATATTTTTACAATTTCGTGTCACTTTTCACATTTTTTTAAGACGAGGCTGACATATAAATGCTTATAACGTATTGTAAATACACACATGCATACGAAAATTATTTATGATTTCATGCCAAAATATTGTGTAGGTTTGTGTATTATTAGCATATGTCAATTTACGAATATTGAAAAAACAATCATGATTTCATGTAATGTATTACATTTTATGAAACAAACAATATTCATGATCAAACATGATAATTATGGATTTAAATGCATGAATATCGTTCAAAAGAATTCGTGATTCCATGTCATGCTTAGCAGTTCATAAAACTACCGGACATGCAAACACATGTTACGACACCCAGTATGTCTGTTTAAGTGACAAGTGCTTACACTCGCAGAGTGCATACTTTAAAAACATACTTTAATGCATATAACTTGTTCAGTCTTGGTTCGCGTTGAAACAAAGTTTAATATTGATTTAAATGTCAGGCTATTTCCCTGTTTATGGAATAGCATGCACGCCAATATCCCTTGAAGTGGGTGTCGGGAAGACTTGGCGCCCGCCGTTAGCTCCTATATCCCATCGAGTCCTACATCTGACAGGGAGAATGAGAAAAAGCTCCCACTCGAACACGCAAAACCTCCAGGTGAAGGGGCCCCTTGATGGTGCGTGTAGAGTCCACGCAACGCGGTGTCACAGTTAAGGAGCTTCGGTGAAAGCGTGGTGGAGATTTTAAGTCCGCTTCATTTACATACTGCGGTAAACGAGCGAAAGATGGAAACGGTGAATTCAAAGGTGTTGGAACTATGTGGTGTCGGTTGCAAGCAATCGAATCTGAATCAGATACAGAAATACCGGACAAACCAGCACTGTTGTCACACACAGTTGCAGCTTGGTACCAATGATATACCGGTACCCTATAATCCAGAACTGTTGTCAGACACAGTGACATCTTTGTACCTCAGATAATGCAGTACTTCGGTAAAGGCGAATCATTGCAGGAATCCTATATAAACCTCACACTTTCATTTTGCCAGAAAGTCACAGCTGGGTACCCCAGATAAACCACACCCTGTGATGTTGTCAGACAGTCACAGCTGGTTACCCCAGATAAACCACACTTTGTGACGATGTCAGACAGGCACACCTGGGTACCCCAGATAAACCACACCTTGTGATGATGTCAGACAGTCACAGTTGGGTGTCCCAGATAAACCACACCTTGTGATGTTGTCAGACACTCACAGCTGGGTGTCCAAGATAGACCACACCTTGTGATGATGTCAGACAGTCACAGCTGGGTGTCCCAGATAAACCACACTTTGTGATGATGTCAGACAGTCACAGTTGGGTGTCCCAGATAAACAGCACCTTGTGATGTTGTCAGACAGTCACAGTTGGGTGTCCCAGATAAACAACACCTTGTGATGTTGTCAGACAGTCACAGCTGGGTTCCCCAGATAAACCACACCTTGTGACGATGTCAGACAGTCACAGCTGGGTGTCCCAGATAAACCACACTTTGTGATGATGTCAGACAGTCACAGTTGGGTGTCCCAGATAAACAACACCTTGTGATGTTGTCAGACAGTCACAGTTGGGTGTCCCAGATAAACAACACCTTGTGATGTTGTCAGACAGTCACAGTTGGGTGTCCCAGATAAACCACACTTTATGATGATGTCAGACAGTCACAGTTGGGTGTCCCAGATAAACCACACCTTGTGATGTTGTCAGACAGTCACAGCTGGGTACCCCAGATAAACCACACCTTGTGACGATGTCAGACAGTCACAGCTGGGTGTCCCAGATAAACCACACCTTGTGATGATGTCAGACAGTCACAGTTGGGTGTCCCAGATAAACCACACTTTGTGATGATGTCAGACAGTCACAGTTGGGTGTCCCAGATAAACCACACCTTGTGATGTTGTCAGATACTCACAGCTGGGTGTCCAAGATAAACCACACCTTGTGATGATGTCAGACAGTCACAGCTGGGTTTCCCAGATAAACCACACCTTGTGATGTTGTCAGACAGTCACAGTTGGGTGTCCATGATAAACCACACCTTGTGATGTTGTCAGACAGTCACAGCTTGGTGTCCCAGATAAACCACACTTTGTGATGATGTCAGACAGGCACACCTGGGTACCCCAGATAAACCACACCTTGTGATGATGTCAGACAGTCACAGTTGGGTGTCCATGATAAACCACACCTTGTGATGCTGTCAGACAGTCACAGCTGGGTGTCCCAGATAAACCACACTTTGTGATATTGTCAGACAGTCACAGTTGGGAGTCCCAGATAAACCACACCTTGTGATGTTGTCAGACAGTCACAGCTGGGTGTCCCAGATAATCCACACCTTGTGATGTTGTCAGACAGTCACAGCTGGGTGTCCCAGATGAACCACACCTTGTGATGTTGTATGACAGTCACAGCTGGGTTCCCCAGATAAACCACACCTTGTGATGTTGTCAGACAGTCACAGCTGGGTGTCCCAGATAAACCTAACTTTGTGACGATGTCAGACAGTCACAGCTGGGTTCCCCAGATAAACCACACTTTGTGATGTTGTCAAATAGTCACATCTGGATACTCCAGATGAACCACACTTTGTGACTGTTGTTACACTCACATGATCAATCATTGGCATACCTGTTCTAGACCACACTGGTCAATAAGTCTACTGGTGACCTCATCTCAAAATAAAAATAAAAATCGTCATAAAATATATTATCAATCTTTTTAAGGTAGCGTATTCGCAATCTTATTTACATGTGTTCTAATGGTCTTTTTTTCTTTCAGCCGAGTAAACAAAATGGAAGATCCTTTAAGAAACGAGCACAAGAATTTCTCTTGAAGTGGTCTTTCTTTGGAGCAAGAGTCATGCACAATTTGACATTAAACAACGCTCAAAGTTTCGGTAAGCAAACCACGTCTGGTGCCGTTTATGTTAAATAGAGCCATCCAGCTGATCCTTAGTGTGCAGTAGTACAAGCTCATTATCAGTGTCTACAATTCTCTCAAAGTAAAATAAATGTCTATTGTCATGTTCCGATTGACAAATGCTATAGCATAGGTATCCATTAGATTTTAACTTACACTTTCAACGTATATATCGTGCAATTTAAAAAAAACGTGCAAAAAACGAAAGAAACAAGGGGTCTAAAAGGCTTCCGTAGGTAACCCCTAATTATAGACTTGAAACAGTATTAACGCAAAGGGCGCATTGTAGCTAAACAGGGTATGTCTGAGTAACTAATGGTACGTCATGACAGGCTCCTTTCACCTGATCCGCATGCTGCTGGATGAGTACGTCCTCCTGGCCGTGGAGTCTCAGCTTCACAACGAGAAGGAGGCGGAGCTGCAGACACTGCTGGACAAACACATGAAGCCAGGTAGGTGGACTCACACGTGAAGCTGGGTAGAAGGATACACACATGAAGCTGGGTAGGTGGACACACGCATGAAGCCAGGTAGGTGGACACACACATGAAGCCAGGTAGGTGGACACACACATGAAGCCAGGTAGGTGGACACACACATGAAGCCAGGTAGGTGGACACACACGTGAAGCCAGGTAGGTGGACATAAGCATGAAGCTATGTGGGGGGAAGCTGGGTAGGTGGACACACACATGAAGCCAGGTAGAAGGACATACACATGAAGCCAGGTAGAAGGACACACACATGAAGCCAGGTAGATGGACACACACATGAAGCCAGGTAGAAGGACACACACTTGAAGCCAGGTAGAAGGACACACACATGAAGCCAGGTAGATGGAATCACACATGAAGCCAGGTAGATGGACACACACATGAAGCCAGGTAGGTGGACACACACATGAAGCCAGGTAGGTGGACACACACATGAAGCCAGGTAGGTGGACACACACATGAAGCCAGGTAGCTGGACACACACATGAAGCCAGGTAGGTGGACACACACATGAAGCCAGGTAGGTGGACACACACATGAAGCCAGGTAGAAGGACACACACGTGAAGCCAGGTAGGTGGACACACACATGACGCCAGGTAGGTGGACACACACATGAAGCTATGTGGGGGGAAGCTGGGTAGGTGGACACACACGTGAAGCCAGGTAGATGGACACACACATGAAGCCAGGTAGATGGACACACACATGAAGCCAGGTAGGTGGACACACACGTGAAGCCAGGTAGGTGGACACACACATGAAGCCAGGTAGATGGACACACACATGAAGCCAGGTAGAAGGACACACACATGAAGCCAGGTAGAAGGACACACACATGAAGCTCGGTAGAAGGACACACACATGAAGCCAGGTAGCTGGACACACACATGAAGCCAGGTAGCTGGACACACACATGAAGCCAGGTAGCTGGACACACACATGAAGCTGGGTAGAAGGACACACACATGAAGCCAGGTAGGTGGACACACACGTGAAGCCAGGTAGATGGACACACACATGAAGCCAGGTAGGTGGACATACACATGAAGCCAGGTAGGTGGACACACACATGAAGCCAGGTAGAAGGACACACACGTGAAGCCAGGTAGATGGACACACACATAAAGCCAGGTAGGTGGACATACACATGAAGCCAGGTAGAAGGACACACACATGAAGCCAGGTAGATGGACACACACATGAAGCCAGGTAGATGGACATACACATGAAGCCAGGTAGGTGGACATACACATGAAGCCAGGTAGCTGGACACACACATGAAGCCAGGTAGATGGACATACACATGAAGCCAGGTAGGTGGACATACACATGAAGCCAGGTAGATGGACACACGCATGAAGCCAGGTAGGTGGACACACACATGAAGCCAGATAGCTGGACACACGCATGAAGCCAGGTAGGTGGACACACACATGAAGCCAGGTAGGTGGACACACACATGAAGCAAGGTAGATGGACACACGCATGAAGCCAGGTAGGTGGACACACACATGAAGCCAGGTAGCTGGACACACACATGAAGCCAGGTAGGTGGACACACACATGAAGCCAGGTAGAAGGACACACGTGAAGCCAGGTAGGTGGACACACACATGAAGCCAGGTAGAAGGACACACACATGAAGCCAGGTAGAAGGACACACACATGAAGCCAGGTAGGTGGACACACACATGAAGCTATGTGGGGGGAAGCTGGGTAGGTGGACACACACGTGAAGCCAGGTAGGTGGACACACGTGAAGCCAGGTAGGTGGACACACACATGAAGCCAGGTAGAAGGACACACACGTGAAGCCAGGTAGGTGGACACACACATGAAGCCAGGTAGGTGGACATACGCATGAAGCCAGGTAGGTGGACACACACATGAAGCTATGTGGGGGGAAGCTGGGTAGGTGGACACACACATGAAGCCCGGTAAGGGAACACACATGAAGCTTGGTAGGTGGACACACACATGAAGCCAGGTAAGGGAACACACGTGAAGCTGGGTAGATGGACACACACATGAAGCTGGGTAGGTGGACACACACATGAAGCCAGGTAAGGGAACACACGTGAAGCTGGGTAGGTGGACACACACATGAAGCTTGGTAGGTGGACACACACATGACGCCAGGTAAGGGAACACACATGAAGCTGGGTAGGTGGACACACACATGAAGCCAGGTAAGGGAACACACGTGAAGCTGGGTAGGTGGACACACACATGAAGCTGGGTAGGTGGACACACACATGAAGCCAGGTAAGGGAACACACGTGAAGCTGGGTAGGTGGACACACACATGAAGCTTGGTAGGTGGACACACACATGAAGCCAGGTAAGGGAACACACATGAAGCTGGGTAGGTGGACACACACATGAAGCCAGGTAAGGGAACACACGTGAAGCTGGGTAGGTGGACACACACATGAAGCTGGGTAGGTGGACACACACATGAAGCCAGGTAAGGGAACACACGTGAAGCTGGGTAGGTGGACACACACATGAAGCTGGGTAGGTGGACACACACATGAAGCCAGGTAAGGGAACACACGTGAAGCTGGGTAGGTGGACACACACATGAAGCTGGGTAGGTGGACACACACATGAAGCCAGGTAAGGGAACACAGATGAAGCTGGGTAGGTGGACACACACATGAAGCCAGGTAAGGGAACACACGTGAAGCTGGGTAGGTGGACACACACATGAAGCTGGGTAGGTGGACACACACATGAAGCCAGGTAAGGGAACACACGTGAAGCTGGGTAGGTGGACACACACATGAAGCTTGGTAGGTGGACACACACATGAAGCCAGGTAAGGGAACACACATGAAGCTGGGTAGGTGGACACACACATGAAGCCAGGTAAGGGAACACACGTGATGCTGGGTAGGTGGACACACACATGAAGCTGGGTAGGTGGACACACACATGAAGCTGGGTAGGTGGACACACACAGATGACACAAAGACACACGCGAAGCCGAGAAGGGTCTCTGCGACTTTCAGAACAACCAACCATTTTGTTGATATCATATCTGATAACACAAATACAGCACTGCAAAACAATGCTATAGAACTTCAAAACTACGCGCAATATTACTGATCTATTCAATGCCATTTCAGATGACCAAGGCACGAAACCTATTCTTGCTCAAGGACCAAGCACGTGTTTTGTCGCCAACCCAAACAGGAACAATCCTTCGAGACCCGGAAGTGTGAAGCGCGAGAACTACCTTGACCCAGACGGACACTACAACCCCATGCACAACCGTGACCCCTACCCCATCTCCCCGCACCTCAGTTCTCTCACCTCCATGGTACGTGTCGTAACTGGCATACATGTGCTGGGTCTCCTTGTGTGTGTATCTGTTTGTCTCTGTGTATGTGGGTGTGTTTATGTGGTCTCCTGGTGTGTGTGTGTGTGTGTGTGTGTGTGTGTGTGTGTGTGTGTGTGTGTGTGTGTGTGTGTGTGTGTGTGTGTGTGTGTGTGTGTGTGTGTGTGTGTGTGTCTCTCTTTCGGTGTCTCTGTGTGTGTCCGTGTGTGTATGTTTCTGTGTGTGTCTCTTTGTCTGTGTCTGTTTGAGTGTCGGTGTATGTTCGTCTGTGTGTGACTGTGTCTCTATGTGTATGTCTGTGTCTCTATGTGTGTGTCTGTGTGTGTCTGTGTCTCTATGTGTGTGTCTGTGTATGTGTGCCTATGTGTGTGTCTGTGTGTGTGTCTGTGAGCGTTAGTCATAATGATTAAGTAAGTGTGTCAATAGTAAAGAACCACACCGGAAACTAATGGTACCGTTGATAATCATGTTCTTCACTTTGTAGACTGCCTCTGCCGGCAACAATCAAATGTTAACGCCTCCAATCTCCCCCATCGTGGTCAACCCCATCCGCACCTCCGTCATCAACCAGAACAACATGGGCTACAACCCAACGCATACCAACGCATACCTAGGTAATCCATCACTTCTGCTTCTTCTGTTTGGTTCCTGGTTAGTATTGGCCACCAGCAACCTATGCTGGTCGTATGCTGGTCGTAAGAGGCTACCAAATAGATCGAGTGGTCTGGCTGGGTGACTTGCGTGTCATCGTACCCGGACGGCGTGATCACTGGATTGTCTGGTCAAGACTCGAATTATTTACAGACCGCCGTCATTCAGGTGGAATATTTCTGTGTGCGGTGTAAAACAAACCAAGACTTGTTCTCATTTCCCAAAACATAGGATCGGTTTCCTTTAAAATTAGAAGATGCTTTTTGTGTTAGAAATAATAGAAAAATGATTATTGGCCTACTTTGAAGTTTCATTCAATAGTGCAATTAAGCTCATCGGGAATTACACGGCTAAATGGCATCTCAGATACTTTGTTAACACATAGAACCGATGATATATAGCTTCAGCTCTGGTTTCGATTTTCACAGAAACGTCCAATTGATGATATAGAAACATTGTCGTTTTAATAAAAACATTGAAGCATAAGTAGAAGCAAAGGTTTCATATTCAGCAAAACCTCGTTAATTCCATCTCCATTTAACTCGAAATACCGTTTAAGACGAAATGCATTAATTTACTTCGAGTAATGAGTTCTTATCAGCGTAACTGTAATTTCGTTTAACCCCAGAGCAAGAATCGTTTCATTTCTCTTTTCTTTTCGTAACAGCTCAACACAGTGATTATGGCCCCGGCAACGCATCATACATGGGTCCGGTGGCATACCCCCCAGTCTCCTACGGTGCAGCGTTCAGGGGTCCCCCCAACTCCCTGCCCTACAGCCCCAGTCCCTACAACCTGAAGAACGACATGGAGCCGTACAGCTACCCCGAGCAGCAGTTTCCCGTGGATGCGTACTACCCCTCTTCTAGCATGACGGGATACCCACCAGTGAGCCAATCAAACTACTCGTCTCATAACAACAGTTCAACCGGAAGCGGAAGCGCATTTAATGTTGTACAAAGTACGTCTGCTTTCAACACGACCGGAGGCTACCAGAACCAAGGTAAGAAATAACGCTGTTGGCTACTTCTTCATGTATATATGTGTATATTTTAACAATTTGATTGAATTAAAATTGCTTTGAATTTTGCAAACTCAAAGTTAAAAATGTTCTCTGGCATTATGCTTACGGAGTAACGTTTACTTTCATTGTTTCCTTATCTGAAGACCTTCCCCAATTTAGTCTTTGATCAATAATTGTAGAGGACAACGTGCAGAGTTGTGTCCCTTTGTTGTGCTGGGATATGTTGGTTGTGGTCTCGAATCCCAGATTTTCCCTGATTATAATCCTTGATTTGTCAACACCTTACGTCTGCTATCTGCGTCACTTTCTAAGCAGCGTTAACCCCAAATATATGTGGCTATGAAGGTAATATTTGGCTGATATGGTGTATTTTTCATTTATGTTTGGTGTAATAAGGGGTAAAACGTTTTGATTCTCTTTCAATACTTTTCTTGCCATTTTCCGAACAGTATCTTTCAAAACGGCTAGATGTATGTTATATCTGACAAATTAAGAAATGTCGTATGTATATTTCTATATAATTCAACACAAAGTTTACTGTTTTCAGACTTTTTCGGGGGTCCCTCCTACCCTCAGCCAAAGCTTGTAGAGCACGTGTCGGTGATCCAACAGAGGCCCACGCCCACTCACTACCCAACCGATATCGGGGACGCACCCCCCTACATCCTGGAACGGCCTCACAGATCAAAGGACCCGACTTCTATGTATGGAAACGGGAGCCCAGCCACATGCCACACCCCACCTCATGCAGGTGAGGAGTAAACACAACGATATGTCAAAGCTTTGTTGGTCGTGATCAGTGATTCGGGTGACCAACATCAATCGCTATAAATAGCTGAAACTTTGGTGTTACATGTGTCCATGCACTCACTTACTGACTCACTATACTAGTGCTGGGATCCTTTAGGCCACAGAATCCGAACGTGACCATTTACTGTGAAGGTTTTCTGGTCAACAAAGTATGCCTAGGTATTACATGTGTATGTATATATACATATACGTATGTACCTTCACGCGCACATTAGATAAATAGCGTACAGCAATTCAGGTGTTTAATTTTTCAGTCCGTGGTCCGATGATGTAAATATGTTTTAACCGTAACAGACCTTGATGTACAGCCCTGGTGTTTATCATTGCCAGACTTTGTTTAGTTACTTTACCTTTTAATTATGACAAAATTACAAGTCAGTGTTTATCAAGTTTACGATTCATTTGTTAAGCTAAATTATTTATCTGTTCAATGATGTTACTTTTCAGTTGTTTATTCTTGCCCTAAAAGGCGACCTGGATTGTCGTAAGATGCGACTCACGGGATCGCCTGGTCAGGCTCGCTGACTTGGTTCGTGCATGTCATCTTAACCCAATTGCGAAGGTCGATGCTCATGATGTCAATCACTGGATTGCCTGGTCCAGACTCGATTTATTTACAGACCGCCATCATATAGCTGGAATGTTGCTGGAGCGGTCCATTGATATGCCAGTTCAGTTGTTTCGAATGTTCACTGTTCGTTGGTTTAGATGCTTTACTGGTGGTATAACAGTTCTTATAACCTTCATTGTTTCAGTTCACCAGCCTGTTCACCAACTGGGGGAAGACTTCCTGAACATGACGGGGATGATGGCGGGGGACCACGATATGGCCTCCACCTACGGCGATCCCGGCCCCCTCCCCTCCATCAACACAGTCTTCATGTCCGAGGCCAACAAGGGATGCTTCTAACCCACCAAGGACATCCAGATAGGCCGGCTCTCTACCAGAGCTTGCATGACCGACATGCGTTCGATGAGGACATGATCGCGCTCATTACAGAGACAACTCTGCTTTGGTAGCATCATCCCTACAGAACCAGATAGACAATGGATAACGTATTGTATGTAGATATTATCTCATTACCCAGGGATTCTACATACTGTCTCTATGTACCTGATATGTTGAAGGACTAGAGGAACCTACATCGCCAGCATGCCTAGTGCATGGCGTGATAGCAGGAGACAGAGGTTCCAGGATAGCAAATATTGATGATTCACCGTGCGATTCCAGTTCCACTGAAAGCCTTTCTAGACATAACTGTGCCCAAAGGTTAGAGACGTGTCACTAAGGTGTTCAGCAATTCGTGTTTTGGTGGTACCCGGAAGCAATCGGATGTACAAATCTGAGAACATTAGCAACACTTTCTGAACTTGCGGTACCAATTTATGGCAACGGACTCGGTGGTGATATTTGTTGCCCTTGGATCTGTTCAACCATCATCACTAGAGTGAGTGGTTCAGGATTCGACAATAAACAAAACGGGACCTATAAAAATAGGCTTCACACTTTGAACTATATGGCACGTCAACAAACAGACTTGACTACCCCACCGCACCTGCTAAGGATGCATAACTGAGACAGCCTGAGACGAACTATATGGAAATTGTTTTAGTTGTGACTTCACCTCGCAGAAATTCTGCCGTTGTAGTTGACAACGCGTTGGTAATACAAGTTTATGCCTGGCGTACCCTGTATTGTGGATGTACAGATTTACATTCTCACTGTGGAACAAACTTTATTTGAAGTGTGTAATATGTAAATATATTTGGCTGACTGTCTTATTTTGTAAAGTTGTTTTTGATTCAAAATGTTTTCTTTATGATATTTATGATGGTTGTGTATATGTGTAAGGTTGATGGTAGGTTTAAAGTGCTAATGAAATTCAGTTTCCTAAAATGTCCTTATATAAAATTGAAATAAAACTCACTGAAACTATTCCAACCAAAGAAATAAATATAATGCTAGATTAAATAATAAGTTCGATTATTTCAAAATTATTATGAAATCATATTCCAAATATAAATCATTGTGACTTCACGTCCATGCCTAGATGTCTTATAAAAGCCTCGTGTAACATAAAGGGTGTCTCTTGCTCATGAGAGCATTGTTGAAACATTGAAATAACTAATCCCGGAAATGTTTCACCTACAGTGTCTGTTTGAGGGTTCAAACGTCTTATTTGCCGAGACAAACCCAATTTAAAAATGAATTTGAATCAAGGATGTACTGTCCGTAAATTATGCCATGTTTTCATGTGATGTATGCAGTTAATTTTCAATAACTTAAATTGATTTAACAGACAACTAAACTGTAATACATAGTAGGGGTGTAAATTTGTCAGGACCAAGCACCTCTTAAACAATAAAACCGATGTAAAAAATCTCATAATTGTTTTTATGTCAGGTGACCATAGAGTGTGAACTACAATTGGTTCCGATAATTATAGGACGCGGACATACTGATTGGGGCTTGTGTGTTGTAATAAATTCGAGTTAACAACAGTCAATTCCGGATATAACGAATTTCAAGAACGCTGATATATGTTCGTTAGTTCCGAAACTCGTTATTCACATGACGTTACAATATTCACAATAACGTTGAATTCAAACCAGGGGATTAAAATTGGATGCGTCTTAACTGACTATTCGCGATAACCAACTTCGTCATATCCGGAGCTGGCTGGTAGATATTAGATGACATTGTACAGGGCTGCCTACTGCCGGAGACAAGGAATATTGCCGCACCAATGTGCGCAGTTGTGAGTTGGATCAGATCTGAGTGTACATAACATAAACATATATATTGTTGTTTTGTAAATAATTTGAAGAATACTGTGTTTTCATTGTCATTAAGACTGCCATGTGCCCTATCCTGTATTATTCCCTCTCTAGGTCACGCGCTAGGTCATTTCATAGGTTCTGCCCTAGGCCATGAGCAAGGTAATGCCGCAGGCTCCGCATTAGGTCAAATGCTAGGTCCTGTGTTTGTTCTGAGCCATGAAGAGTTTATTTGTCTTTGTTGTTACGAATTCGGTGTGATTCCGTGTTGATTGTGTGTGTTACGTGGAGTGTGCGTGGCATTTGTTTATGTATGACTATATTAATTGTCGGTTTAGTTACACATAGTTCGTTTACGAGTCTTCGTAAATGACTAAGATGTCCTACGCCATATTCAGCAATATCCCAACAAAATCACGGCAAAACTTAGGTTTGCACTTTGCGGCCAAGTAGGAATCGAACCCTCACACAAGTGTACCCTGGGCTCAAATGCAGTCTTTTTAATATCCCTTTTACTATTTCCCTCCCTGGGACAGATGCACGGTTACCATGGTGAAATAATTTAGACAAGGAAAGATAACTCTTATTCTTAATATCCGGACAGTTTGACATCATTCTTTTCCGGACAAAATCAAAAGTGTTGATCATCCTGAAAAATAGTCGTTCACACCACATGTTCTGTATTACCCTTGTGATGGCGAGAAACATTTGGATGTGTCAGTGCCTGATTTTAATTTTATTCTGTACCCTGAATCAATGCACAATAACGATCACTTTCATTTTAGATCACCTCTCGGAAACGTTAACTAAAAAGAAAATAGTTTACTAATCTCTATCGCTAGAAATATCATTTAGATGTATTACAACCTGTTCAAGAATGTGATACTCCAGTATATTAACCTAACCCGTGAACCTGCTGTTGGTGGGGTAGCTTAGTTGCGCGATTGATAGACACTACGAAGGCCTGGGTTCGATTTCCCATGTACATGGGTGTCATGTCTACAATCATTTCTGGCGTTCCTCGCCGTCATACCGCTGGAAAATTGCAAAATCGGACTACATCTATCCTCATTGAATAACTTTTTCAAATTTCATTGTTGTTGGGGTAGCTCTGTCGTCAATAGCGCCACAATTCGCAGAGTTGCGTCCCTTAGTCATGCCAGTATCCGATGATTGTGGTTCTAAATCAAGCTTCGCCCTTATTATATGTAGTAAACGCCTAAGAACTGCATCACTAACGACTTTCCTCCCTTATCAAACTGGCACACCCTGATTATACAGTAATAATCTCCAAACTTTAAACCCAACTAACTCACCAACTAACTCACTCACCCTTTCTAGTTGACATTGTTACAGAGTGTTCAAAAACTTGTAAACCCTTAAAGAGTAACATTCCATACCCGAAAATTTGGTTTGTAATCCTGGGAATGATTTTTTTTATAAATAGAATAATTATATTGATACGTAATAGATTATTCCAAAAAATATTTTTTGTTCCTGTTCATGCTGTAGATAATGGCACATACTGCCAAAAATCTATGCTGTAATAACGATTATTTATGACAGATTTATGTTTTTTCAATGACTGCGAATAAATCTTCTGCAATAAGAAACATCGCAATAGACATACAGCAATTATAATAACAAGCAATATCCACAATTATTATATTTGCCTGCATTCCTTGCACAATTGTGATACTGCACTGTGGACTGGATCGGAATGTAACTATGACCAGTGCCAAATAACTCGCTCTATCTTTCATCTATCATGAATTGTGATACACAAACTGAGAAGCGTAAAATAATATAGTTGCCAAACGTCCATGCGAACATCCCTGCGAATGAGTTCTTCAAGAAATGTTCTTAGTGCAGAGTGTGATCATTATATCAGGTATAGAATGTTCAAAATATTCATTTCACGTAAAATATGTTTATTTAACAGTGTTCTTTTTGTTTTGTTTCTTGTACTGTATAAATGTGTCTATTGCCAAGTGTTATATGCAATGTTTTACTCGGTTGTAAGGGGCTGTGGACAATCCATTATATAAACTTCAGTACTGTTTTGTTGTGTTTCTGTGTCTGAACGGTCGTTGTTGACATAGATGATGGAGGTTACTGAATTGTCTGATTAATCTATATATGAATACACAGATTGAACCTGAATAAAAACTTGAAAAATATTTAATGCTTTTGTTTTATGTTGATATACCATCTCTGGGTAGAAATGTGTTTGTATATGTTTCTACCAATAAAAAGAAGCGACAAATCCCCTTCCATACTCATAAGAAATGTCTGCTTAAAACAGTGTACGAGTCCACTGTATCAAATAGTGATAACACCAGGTGGTCGCGTAACGGTCACACCCATCACAAACACACGCAAAGGTGAGGCAATTGTTCATCTGAAAATATATGGGAACAGAGACTTCAGTTATATTGGTATGCTACTGGTATGAACTGTACATGCTTCAAACAGGGGCATATAACGGAATTGGAGATTCTATCTATAACAGGATTATACAAAGCTCGTGAAAATTTAGTTGTAGTCCACATGGTCAGCTTGGGCTTAATAGTTTCCTTGAGATCTGGACTGAAATTTGATTTTGTCCAAGTTCCCAGTAAACAGAGAGTAGGTGTTGAAAATTTTAGAATATAATTAAACCGTATCAATAATACTCATTAATATGAAAGGGATGTCATACGACTCGCCCACGGGGGTTTTGTGATTATATCTAGGGCCACGTTCCACAAAGTGGCCTTACTGCTGCGATTGGCGAAAGTTTTTGTCGACGTATGGGAGCTACAATAGTCTCAGTGTTAAGACTACTTTGTGGAACTGGGCTCAATGTCAGTGTTGATTTTGTTGATGGTTCTGTACTGCTGCAAGCAAGCGAAGACTCAGTTTTTCAGGGAGAAGCTATCTGAACGACAACTGCATCGAGTGTATGTGCAGTGTGTTGAGAAGATCAGCAACCCTGCAGAGTCCTTCGCTTGGATGAGTTCGGCTGGCCGGAAAAGTGAAATTGAAGGCTTTCTGTTTGCTGCTCAGGACCAGTCACTTCCCACTCGAAACCCCCAATGTGTGACTTTGCATCAAAATGAAATGTAGATTATGTAATGAATTTAATGAGACTGTCCAACACATTGTCAGTGTTGGCCCAGCTTTGGCACAAACACAGTATCTTAAGGGACATGATGCAGTGGCTTGATCATTTCATTACCGTCTTCGCAATGCTTGTGGTTTTGACACAAAGGTCCATCCATGGTACGACCGAGAATTTGTAGAGGGCTGTTGACTGACATTGGGAGAGTACCCGGGTTTGCTACCAGGAATACAGCCCTTCTGGGTAATGAATAATAATAATGATAATAATAATAATAATGACATCAATTCGAGGACAATGAAACCCCGATATTCAGGACGGTAAAGTTCCAAATGAAATCGGTCCGATTAACAAATTTCCGAACATGGCGATTTATATCCTTCGAATGTGTAGACATACCGACAGTCTTTGTCCCGGCCACCGGTTTTCTGGAATAACGGGGTTTAAAGTGGTGTTTTAAATAGAAATGCTAACGAGTAACTAGTTTTCAACATGCAAGTTTGGTTATTGTAAGCTATTCGTAACGGTAATAGTGGGAGTCTAACGTCGAGCTTTTAGCAGCTTTACCCCCCGGGGAGTGGTAGTCGTTTGTCAGGATCTGGCCGACACTTGCTTGATCCCCGGGTCGGGGCTGACATGTTCATCTGTCAAGCTTTGCACTTCTAGGCAGGACCGAAGCCTCTCTACAAATGGGCCAAACACAACCCAAATACAAAAAAATACATGTATGCCATTCTCGTCTCGTTTATTGGTTAACCGTTTGATTTATCGGAGGTTAAAATTACTGCAATTTCCTTTAAATACTAACAAGATTAAACTGGTTGCGTTTAGCTACTGCAATATACTTTGAGATCTGTGTGTGTAAGTAATGAGAAACTAAATATTGAAAGTGTTTGATTTGTGGGGTAGAAATTGTGGAGGTTCAGTTGATTTTCAATGGTTGAGATTTGGTTCTCAATGGCCTGGACTTAACTGTACAAAGGAATGGTGAGCTTGTGATATTACTAGATTTGGTGTAAATCCAGAAGAGTTTGAAAAGAAAATAAGTGCACATGTTAATCTAATTTTCAGAACATCAAATGTTGTGAACTCTGAGTAAATAATTTGTCGGGTACTTTCCGGGTTCACGGCCGATATAACTCAAGTGTTTGGACCGTAGAGCCTTATCCAGTACGGTCATGTAAGATAGCTTTAGGTCTGTGTGGGACTTCATTGTGGACTATTTGTTTTCATAAATCAAGACACCAAACTGAAAGTACATAAATTACTCAAGCGATAGCCTATAAGGCCGAAGACAAACCTAGTCCAGAGCCAAAGGACATGCGCATGCATTCTATACAAGAACAGGTTTAATCAAGTGATGTTGTGAGTTTAAACGTTAAGGAATAGATCATGGCGAAAGGTTTTGAAAGATTGCTTTGTGTCAGCATTAAGGCCACGGAAGATAAAAAAATATTGCTGCATGAAGGATTATTTTCAGTGCGGTCAATTATTGTTTGTTTGGTCCGGTAAAATAAGCAGGTTTTCTATTTGTTCTGTACTCGTGAAGATTGTCAAGATTTTAAAGGAATAGTTATCTTTTTTATATAATAGTAACTTGCAATGCTTGCTTCAAGAATCCCATGTACTTTTCTCTGTTCAACTATCTTCTGAGAAAAAATGTTGGAAGGCCTATTTTGAAAATATTTGTTTGCGAGAATATAAATTTGTTATGGTCTTTGGGATGATCTTTGCCGTGGAGACAAATCATTGTACGAAGTTATTTTGATGTTTTTATATTTATCGAAAACGAAACTTCTTCGATACATAGTATACTTGGTTTTTAGCAATATCCCGACGAGAGACGAAGAATAGGATTCACACATGATGGGAATCGAACCCGGGTCCTCGTCGGAGCGATACAACGCATTAATCTTTGACCAGAAAAAAAGGTTGTCTCTCAAATATTACATTCATATATTACATTCACTAGAACTCTAGTTAACGGTCTTCAAATCTTTCGACACTTTTCCACGCAAACCGAAGGGAAAAGGGAGGGGCATAAGGATTAACCCACACAGTGAAGACGCTTGTTGAGATTAGAAGATAATCCCTCTTCACATGCTCATTGACCCCCTAGCTGTGGGAGGTAAACCCCCAAACATGTTCACGCCACCCTTCCTGGGGGCGGGGGTAGCTGCAAACTGTCCGGGGTATGAGATATCGCCCACATTGATCTGTGTACGAATATGACTTTGTGTTATCGACGGTTGAGTCACTATGTATGATCAGCAACATGTTTTGCTTTATCGGACGCGTGTGGTGATGTATTTCAGGTATAGCATAGTATGGCAGCTCAATATGGGAGGAAATCCGAAAATCGCGCAGGTCGTTCTGACACATAATATCAAATTCCGGCCAAATTTTCATTTCATATCGTTCACGACGATTACCGCACATGAACGTATCGTTCACGATCAATAAAATATTGTTTACTTAAATGAGACTGTTGTTCATTTGTTTACGTTTTCAATTTCGTGCGGGTATTATGTAAGGTGCCCCGTGAAGATCCGGATAGAGAATCTTCAGCTACCCATGCTACCAAGAGGCGACTAACGGGATTGGGTGGTCAGGCTGACTTGGTTGATGCATGTCATCCTATCCATGGGCGGATACAGAGGGGAAGGGGGTGGGGGTGGGGTAGGGGGGTGCTCACCCCCCCCCCCCCCCCCCCCCCCCCCCTTTTTATTTCGAAAAATCTTTATTTCTGGATAAATTACCACCAAAGACAATAAATAGATCTTAATGGTGCACCCACCCCCCACCCACCCCTTTTCAAAAAAGCTGTATCCGCCCATGGTATCTCAATTGCGTGGATCGATGCTTATGATGTGAATCACTGGACTATCTTGTCCAGACTCGATTATTTGCAGACTGCCGTCATATAGCTGGAATGTTGCTGAGTGCGGCGTTAAACAACAAACAAACAAACGTCACAGCTTCCATTGGTTACCTGGACCACAGCGTGGTCCTCCAGATTCCACGTAGTCAGTGATGACATAAAACAAGAAAGTGTAAGGATTTATATTTTATTGAGACTTAGTATTTACAGAACTTTGTCCCTCCGCCTTGAGACAGGTATACGCTTAGAAAGTCCGTTCTAAAACCACCGAAACATGTATCACAGGAACGCTGGCGTCATACTCTATGGATCTGTACAGGTCAATAAGGAATCGGTAAGAACATAACGGTACTTTCAAATATGGGTAAATAGTGACGAACAAGCTTCTTTCCACTGCTCAATAATGCACTTTCTGCAAATCAAGTCCTACACGCTCAATTACCTACGCCAAAAGTATGAACTGTTCCAAACACATATGGTTCTGCAATGTACCACGAAATTATTCTCTCATGATCTTCCTGCGACAGAGGCCGTACATTGGACATTGAAAATCTACCAATTTCATGATACAAATAAGACACCTCTACCCCTCTGAAACGATGTCATAGAACGGGACTTTTGCATACATCAGTGACTTGAGTCATTGGAGTTTTCATGGATTACGGAACCGGACTAGAACGAATCGTCTTGACCATAATCACTGCCAATGAAACCTCATTAAGCCGGATGGGGCCTATATATGAAATCGTTTAGGCTAACAAACTAGAGTAACAAATCAGAGAACACAGAAATGCTTCTTTAACACTCTATAAACGTTCCGTAAATGTATTCGCCCATATTATCGAGGTATCTGGACTGTCGAGGTGTCCGTACTATAGATGTCCGGCTAACGGTGTGATCGAACCATCGACGTCCAGGCTCAAATGGTGTCTGGACTATCGACGTCCAGGCTAACAGGGTGTCCGGACTATCGAGGTCTGGCTAACGGGGTGACCGGACAATCGAGGTCCGACTAACAGGGTGTCCGGACTATCAACGTCCATGCTAACGGGGTGTCCTGACTATCAAGGTCTCGCTGACGGGTTGTATGGACTATCGACGTCCGGGCTAACAGGATGTCCGGACTATCGAGGGTCCAGGCTGAAGGGGTTTCGCTTTATATGAATTCTCATTAACCAGCCTCATCACACCAAAGCTCTTTCTCTACACTAGTATCTATGTTCAGGTCAGTCGGCATGATAATTCGATGCCGAGTAATTGAGGGTTCACTGTGAATGGGTTTTGTTGTGCGTAGCATTTGGTAGCAGGGGTAAGGAAAATGTGGATGGATGTCTTCAAAGTGGAATTCTTAAAACGTGGAATAAATAGTTGTCATGGTGACGATGATAATGATTAATATACACTCTACAAATAAATATACTAATGAATGTTTCTGAGGTATAGTTTCTGCATGACGTTAGTTTTTTGATACTTTGGACGGACAACCGTATGACTAATCGTGTGTTAATGCTGAATAATAATCATCATGAATGTATGATAAGTAGAAACGTGGCAATGTTTACTTCTTCCTACTCTCATTGATCAAAATGATACAAATTACTGAACCGACTATCAGCATGTTGTCCATTCAATTCATAATTAAACATAAATTTTAATAAATTGACAAAATCGACATTTGGAATCCCCTCGTTTCACAATTATTCCCAAATACATTAAAAAGGTAATACCTCATGCAAATAATAGGAACGCAGGTTATTATGAACTAATTGAATAACTCCACAGTCAGGCGACTGTGTACAGTCTAGATGACTGTGTAAAGGCTATCACAGCTAACAGAAATCAGATCAGTGGCCAGCCAGATCGTATTGGTAACGAACCAATATGTTGATGCTTTGTCAATAAGCTTTAGTTAATCAATACAAACCTACAATTGCGTATTTATTTCAAGGGACATAAGGCTATTAATAAACCTATATATGGATAGGAAAAACTGAGTTAGCCGGAAAGGAATATGAATACCTGGGCCGTATTTCCTCTGTAAAACAGTACGCTTCACGCCACAGTGGAAGTCGTGAGATCCATCATGGACACTGAGATTCGTTATGATCCGTTAAACATGGTCGATATTGTCCCGCTAATTACAAGATCACGTACAAAATAGAATGATAGTAATTACTCCTAAAACTATAGTGAAAACTATAAATATAAATATCAGGTAAATCTTCAGTATCAAAACATATCTAAAGTATTTACATATATAGATGTGGAGACCAACGCCGACTGAGATAAATTTGGAACTTTATCAAGATATAAGTTAAGTTTAATAACACCGAATATAAGCAAATATCGGAAAACTGGACTGGGGAAGTGGGTTTTATTATAGGTGAGGGGGCGGTGAGATTGGCCTTAGGACTGTATCATATTCTCTTCCCCACCCCCCACCCCCATTTATGACCTCCCCCAACTCCCAATCTCACGCCCAACCCCACCGCACCCCCTCTCCCTTCGTCCCTTCGCAAGAAAACTAAATTGATGAACAAATTAAATCATATTCATACATAGGTCACGAGAAACTGTGGATCATACATGTCAGTAAAATTGAATTATGCATTATATTTTGCAAATCTAAGCAGAAATTGATAATCTGTGAGACAAATAACAACTATGTACATTAATAACACTATACAAGGTACAAAGGTATGTGTCTAGTCATATGTAATATGGAAGCACTCAAATAAAGCCAGTATAAGCATGACTGGGGGATATTAAAGCATGTGAATTGGATACGTGTGTCTTATAATTGGCATATATTATTGGATTAGACGTGCTTGCATATATTTCTTGAATGTCCCACTGACCTCATAGTAAGCGGGTATATACAATACAATCCCGTTACCAGTGAAATCGTCCCGATGATAAAACTTTCAGATAAAAGACACCCACCGAGCGGTCATTTTAAGCTTGGCTGAACACAAAACGTAGTTACCGTTATCTTCCTATTTTTATCTTCGCTGTTTTTGTTGTTTTTTTCTAAACCAGACCTAACGCTGGTGTCGTGTGCAGAAAAGACATTCCTGACGTACGTTGGTCACGTGTTACTTTAGGTCTTCCAGCCTTCTTGTATCGCTCGGTGGCTTCCTTTAACGAATCAGGATTGTGACAACATCTCCTTGTCTATGTAACAGTATTGTCCGGAAACAACATATCCCGATTAACGGCATTTCACTTTCGGTGTCTTCTTAATGCAATTATAAGAAAATAATATTCTATATTTACACTGTGTCCACATACTGTCACATGAACAGTTTCGAATTGGATGTAACAGATATATGCCTGGAATTACGACATCCCACATTGCACTAAACGTCCGTCTGTCTGTGTGTCTTTCCGCCTTATCGGCTGCAGCAGGAGGTGCTTTTCTTCACCATCTTCATGTCCTGTAGCTGCATGCCCACGTTCTTCACCTCTATGTCCTCATTCGTGCGCAGTAATCTGGCAAAAATAGTTCCAGTATCAACCACAGTACATTGATATCAATAAACAATATAACGGAAAAAAATGTTGTTTTTATTTTTGTTTTTTACCCTCAGATGGAGGGAATTTGCCGTATGCGTACTCTGACGCAAATATGTAGCAAATCTCAACCAACGTGATAAAGTGGCGTGACAACGATGACGAGGGTGTTTGCATAGTGACGTGCCAACGATGACGAGGGTGTTCGCATAGAGACGTGACAACGATGACGAGGGTGTTTGCACAGTGACGTGACAACGATGACGAGGGTGTTCGCATAGAGACGTGACAACGATGACGGAGGTGTTTGCATAGTGACGTGACAACGATGACGAGGGTGTTTGCATAGGGACGTGACAACGATGACGAGGGTGTTTGCAGAAACAAAGTCAGCATCTCTTTCTAAATTTTTTTTATTTCGTATCACATGTCAAATTCAACACTGATTGAAGCGTACGCACAATCTCCAAAAGAACGTTGATTAGCGCCACTATTTCTACTCAAAGGAAGTTAACGCACACCCGATGTCATATGAATATAGTTAATCTGTCATGGCCGTTGAGTATTGCAACACACAGCCTTCAAACTGTATGTGTTCTTTTACTTGTTTGGGGTAGTACGTATAACCAGTGACGTTAGTATTGTTTGAAACAATAATTATACATATATCGACCATGAAAATCAATGGTAGATCGCTAACATTCCACACCAATGGGCACATTAATGTGACGCTAACGTGACGCGAATGTAACGCTAACTTAACACTAACGAAACGCTAGCGTAACGCAAACATAACACTAACGAAACACTAACGAAATGCTCCTCTTACCTAGTTAGTTCTATGACTGCCTCTTGTATATTTGATCCGTCCTTAGCACTTGTCTCGATAAACAATCCTTCATATTCCTGAAAATGGAAAAAAATACAATGACAATAGCAAGACATAAGCGCATGCACCGTCCACTCTTAAATCAGCTTCTTGGCTCAAAGCAGGATTATTAGTCAACAATTGGGCATCCCCTAATATGGCAGGACACCTAGATTTATTACCACTCCAATCTGTACTTGGACTGGAAAGTGGTGTTTTACTGTCTAGGTCTTATTGAAAACATCAATAATACATTTTATTATATCATTTTCTTATATTATATCATACATCATTTTTTTTTAAAATCAACGAATAATTAGTGACGTCACTAAATATTCATTGAAAGCAAGGATTGTTTTCTTATTATTATCTCTGACTATTATTAAAGAATTCATACAATACAGAATAAAGGTAAATAGTAAAAAACGACTCATGGAATCAGTTTTTATTGTGGACGAAATACAATTCGAATTCAACTCAAACTGACAACACATTCAGACAGGATCCTTGCAGTGTGTTTGGGAGTTACCTACCCTTGAGAGCCTTGACCCGTCTTCAAACCGGACAACTCGTCGGCCCTGTTGCTGCATCTCGTCCCTGATGTCAGTCTTGTTGGCACAGAACATGATAGGGATCTTCTTCATAGCGCCATCCTGAGATACCAGTAACCAAAAAGGAATCATGGTTTATCATGGAACTCTGTTAATAATTAGTTGCACATAGTGCAAGAACTACAGGGGGACTCTTAATCACTTTATTAATTATCAAACTTTATTTGAAATGTCATTATGTACACGGGACAACGGTCGCAGACCATGAGGCGCTGCAACTTGCTGTACAGAGTTGCCTCCCTTATCTGTGATAGGATCAGCTCGTCATGGGATCGGATGACACGCTGAATATGATCGTCGCTTGTCAGCACCATAGGCTTTTACGATGGTATCACCAAATGGTAAACGTTTACGGCTGGTACCTCTTGGGATTTCTTCCCACATGAGTGATTGAGGTGGTTTAAACGCCGCGTTTACAGTATTCCAGTTATACCACGGCGTGTCAGCTTAATCTTGGGGGGGGGGGGGGGGGGGGGGGGACAAGTGGTGCAGGTCGGTGAAACCCACGAGCACGGGCATGGTGCTGACAAACCAAGAAACATAATCGGGATGAGCCGGAAGAGATTATAACTTTCATGTACAGTTTAGTGCGATGGTTGCCCGAATGAGCACAGAAGCACACCGTCGGGTGGAGGATATGTTTTGAAATATCTCTGTAAGTTAATGTAAGAGAGTTTAGGGCCGACCATTTAATATTCGAAGTGAGCTATGATAATACAGTTCCTTCAAAACGGAACAAATCATTATGGATTATTGAAGTCCAAGTACCCACTCCGAATACCAAATGGCCGGTTCCTTTGTAGCACAGAGTTATGAAGCAGGAGAGAGGACAGGCCACATCTAGTATGACGGGGGTCAACTAACTTGTCTACAAACCTCCACAGCTTCCACCCAGTCGCGGACGTTGAGGAAGGAACGCTCGTAGGTGCAGTCGTACAGCAGCAGAACGCCGTCGGCACGCCGGAAGTAGGACTTGGCGATACTCCGAAACCTGGGGACAAAGGTCATACATTACATGAGTTGAGGTTCTACCATCAGAATGAGGACATGTGATTGGAGGGTTTTTATTGTCCTTGAAACTGACCATAATCTAAAGTAACTGACCTCTCCTGTCCAGCTGTGTCCCAGAGCTGAAGAGCGATGGTGCGGCCGTCAACTTCAATCACCTTGGTCTGAAAGTCCACACCTGTCACAACATACACCATAATGTAGACACTAAACATTTCAACATACACACTGTAGACACTAAACATTTCAACATACACACTGTAGACACTAAACATTTCAACATACACACTGTAGACACTAAACATTTCAACATACACACTGTAGACACTAAACATTTCAACATACACACTGTAGACACTAAACATTTCAACATACACACTGTAGACACTAAACATTTCAACATACACAATGTAGACACTAAAAGTTTCAACATACACAATGTAGACATTAAAAGTTTCAATATACACAATGTGGACACTACATATTTCAACATACACAATGTAGATACTAAACAATTTTTTTAACCATTGCTCACTTAACAGTTCACTGATTGCAAATGCAGTCAAGTTTGACATGGGTAAGTGACCCCTCTTCAACAGTATGTCAGTGTCACGGCGTGACAGCTTATTGAGAGAGACAAAAGATCAAAAGAAAAGGCCTTCGTTGACGTCTACCACTTACCGGGTCATAGCTCAGGCTAACCCGGGATTCGAACCCACGATCGACGGAACCAAAGGCTAAGAGACTCAACTCTCATTTTGTCACCTTAGACCACTGGGCCAACCGTGGTTATAGTTATCGTTCAAGCAGCTTGAGTGATGTTAACTTCAGTACAATAGATTGAACGTACCTAGTGTGGAGCTGAGGTTGTTGACGAACTTGCCCTTGCACAGCCTCATGATGAAGCTGGACTTGCCGACCGCAGCATCTCCGGCAAGGACGACCTTGTACATCCTCTCTGGTTCCTTCGATACCTTAACGCTTAGTACCTGTTGAAGAGACATTAGGGAGTCAGTTGGGTTTGACGCCGCTGGGACTGTAAGAGGGCGGCCATTTGATATTCGGGGGGGCTTCGGATTTTGTATCGAGATTTCAGATACAGCCACAAAAGAATCAATATATTTTTGTGGCAGGCAATTTCGGTTTGTTTGCAACAATCTGAAGCATAATGAATTTTTTCAAGAATCATTGGGGACTATTATTTTTCGATAAAATTACAGGCCCCCAGAATATTAAAACAAAGAATATAGGTTTCTGGCACGAATAGGGGACGTAACTCTGAACAGTGAATCCCGGCCTTGGAAAATGGGCCGCCTCTGTCCCCATTGAACAGACATGACATGTATCAGCTAGCGATGAGAGATATACACATGTCGACAAATATACGCAAAAGCAAAGTGAAAAATGGTTTTTCGTTAGTGTGACCACGACTCGTCCATTTTAAAAGTCCTATGCCGTATGAATAAACTTGAATGATCTTAATATTGAATTTTATATTGTATTTTATTTACAAAATGAATATGGTAGTTAACCTTCCTGGGCGACTGTTGTCATGGTTTTCTATCGAATTACCTGTTCGGGAGATGTCAGCATATGTCGTCTTGTGGATCCACGATTTCCTTTCGGAGATCGGTTATTTCCCGTGTCATTGGTCGGCAAAGATCGGAGACTGCCACGTGACCCTCGACTTCCGGAGGAGCTGAGGCGTTTACTCTGCATGGTCCTAAAGAGTTCGGCCTCTGACCTTTCCATGGCGGTCTCTGCATCTGTTTCCATCTCGTCGTGGGAGTCGAACTCCTGAAATAACATCAACATATCTAGAAAAACACAAGACACAAGATGTCCGACATGGACTGATAACTGTGCACGTGCATGGGAGCGTCCTGGGTCCAGATGCACAAAAAGACATTAGCACTATGACAGCACTATGGAAGTATAGGGGTTACGACAGTCGCAGCGCTGACGCCCCTTGTTTAACCGGGCTCAGGTCCTTAAATAATTACGAGGTCTCCATGGTCATGAGGTCACTTTTTAGTTGCTTTTATGTCTGTATTTCTGTTACTAGAAGTTCATTCAGTCCCAGACGAATTTTGCCGCTAAATTACAAAATTCTGCAGTATATTCTGAGGTAAAAACATAAATACTTCCCCCTAATCAATACAAATTCGTTTTCTTTAAAATGTTCAAACTCTTGTATTTCTGGTTAGATATAAACAGTCTATGTAGTCATAATACCACAAGCACGTTTAAAAGTGAGAATTTATTTCTTTCAAATTTCGTTTTATTGTAGGAATCATAGTTTGTGTGTACCAATCGCATGTTAGATGTTTGGATATCATCTGGCGATTTGTCGGCGATTCTGCGGTAAGCTACATCTTCTGCAAATCCTTCCGCGATCGCGGAATTGCAGAATTCGTCTGGTCCTGTACAATAGTTCTTTTATATTACAGCCTCACGGATAATTACAGCGTTCAGTGGAAATGAACAGGGATTATTCCGTGGGGATCATCTTTCAATCGCTCTCACTCACTCACTCACTCACTCACTCACTCACTCACTCACTCACTGATACGCTCTTCCAGTCGCTAGTTATTTTCCGATAAACCAATACATTATGTAGAAACCGGAAGATCTATTCTAATTTTCCAAACAAGTCTATTTACAACTTCAAAACAAACTAACAACTTTGGCAAACAAATAATTATTTATGCTTCACGGATATTTTGTCCGGACTGGAATTGTATTAAAATCATTCTGGTAACCATGACAACCTCATCAGCGGCGTCACTCACTCACCTCCTCCTCCAGCATATTGCCTGGCTTTAACCGCTTCGGCCGCCGGGGGAGTGAACGGGCATCGCTCTCGTAGCTCAGGCATTCCGACTCGGTGTCCGGCTCGTTGTAGTCCCGCATGGTGGAATGACCACTGTCTGAAAAGCCCACGACTGAAAATATATAACTGACCATATCTACAAGGTAGATGCTTTGATTGCAAGGATACAGTATCTTGCTGGAATATATACAATGAAACCCCGTTAATCCGGATGAGTGATGCATTGGCGTTAAGTCGTATGCAATGTTATATGATAATAAATACCCGAAGTAAGCAGTCAGGACTTCTGAAATAGTTCGTTGAAGGCATTAGTGCATTATGTATAGACGTTGCACAGAACGTGCCTTCGGAATGCGATTTTTCCAAATTAAAGGGTTTTATTTTGCTGAATGGATGTTATCATATATTTAGGTGTATGAGTATGCCCTGTTAACTTTAATTCAATATGCATAAAATAAACTGTTCACTATTTAAGTGATATATCTCCCTGGTTTCCTTGAGAACTAGATTCTTTCTTTATTTTCCATTCCCCACCGTCACATCAAAACTATCCCTGTAGCTACCAAGCGATCCTACACTTCACTGCTCCGTTTAGACAAAGCATTTCCTGGCATGGTATAGGTGTTACTAAGGGGTATAGGCCTATAGTTGTTGGTAGCCATAGACACTAAGAGTTTCAGATACACTAACTACTTTCCGGAGCCCCTTCCAACATCCCTACACCACTCCAACTCTACACGCCTACATTTACAGCACGCCCTCATTTACACCACGCCCGCAACATGCCAAAAGTTACTCCACGTCAAAGCCTACAGCTCGTCGACACCACGCCCACAACGTATACGTGTGAAGGCTGTCTTGCTTAGTATTCAGCTTACCCATTTCATCGTCTTCACAGCTCTCCAAGTGACGAAGTCGTCGTAAGGGCGACACCGACGACACCTGCATCATATTGAGTTCCGATTCACAGATCTCCTCGGCCAGCGAGGAGTTGACACTGGCAGTTCGGTGATATTGAGGGCTGAAAAGGGAGGTCACTCTCATTCGATCATTACAATCGGACAATGGCAGAATGGATGGTTGGTTTTGGTTGGTTTGTTGTTTAAAGCCGCACTCAGCAATATTCCAGCTATATGACGGCGGCCTGTAAATAATCGAGTCTGGACCAGACAATCCAGTGATTAATATCACGAGCATCGATTCACGCAATTGGGATCGATGACATGCATAAACTAAGTCAGCGAGCCTGACCACCCGATCCCGTTTGTCGCCTTTTACGACAAGCATAGTCACCTTTAACGGCAAGCATGGGTTGCTGAAGACCTATTCTACCCCGAATCTTCAGGGGTCCGAAGAGGTTTTTATGTTGTGATAGAAATTGAACAAGAAATCTTATGCGATGCATCATCAACACGGCGGCAACAAATGATCATGAATTTATTAAAATTAAAATTAAATTAACGATAAAATAATGACCCAAAAATGTTTACTCAACACAGTCAGGTTTGAAGTAGTATGATTTCAATGCATTCCTTATTTGCATCTTTCGTCATGTTTTGACTAACATGCGATTACCAGCCTTACATACTGTATTTGATAAACACGGACTGTAGTTGTAAATAGATTTGGCACCGTCTCCCTTCCATTATTGTGGTAAATCTTCCAACAAATGTTGGATTAAAAAACTAAAACTGAACCTTCTGTAAAATTACCAATAAATCCTATAAATATTTCGGAAAACTATTTACAAATAGACCAGCTACAAATAATTTAAGTCACTGGATTTTGATTTTGCAGAATAGAAACATCAAAATGATGAAAAGTTCATCCATGAGTGATTCCTTGGCCGTGTTCATAACGTCACAGGCTTGAGTGTGCCACGTTGAGCCGAGGAACGTTGCGCTTTGTAAGTCATCGATTATTAATGACTTAATCACAAGTCTAAAGCACGTCTCAAACTCACCCGGCGGTTTCGAAATAGTCGCTCATCACTGAGCCTTTCCTGGGGGGTCGGGGCGAAGTGCTGCGTCCACTGGCCGCAGACTAAAAAGACGAAACATGGAAATCATGTATCATTTTGGTCCATGAACAACAGTACATGGATATTATCATCATCATCATCATCATCATCATCATCATCATCATCATTATTATTATTTAGCTGAATACGTACATCATTGGACAGTGTTCGTTTATGGCACGTCAGTTTATTTTGAGACGTTTCCAGTGATTCTCGCAGGTTGTCGTTTGCGTCGAGAAGTTTCTGGTTGGTCTCGCTGAAACATGGAATATGCAAATTCATTATTATATGATAAATTGTTTTGAAAAATTTCAAAGTCTGATTTTAACACACCGAAGCATTCCATAGTTCTAAAATGAATTCTACCAATTGCGAATACCTGTGTTGCACGTTCCAAACATTGTTGACAAATTTAAATTTAATACCTAAATTTGGTTATCTAAATACAGTTCTCTGTATGACAGTTCTGACGTGACCCGCAATAAGTGTCCTCAGATCTTTGTTTGGCGGTGGCGAGCACTAAGATATCATTTTAATGAGATTGCACAAGCACATGTTTTCTTGTTGTGCCGAGAACATATATATTTATACACTGGTCATATCATCGGGCAAACGATGATGCAAAATAGATACATGTAACGCATGCAATAACCATCTTCAATCGCGTGTCATGACCATCATTCATGCATGTTTTATCTTATCGGCAAATGAATTTAATGCCATCTACATCAAGGTACCCGTTAAAATGGGGTTTTCGGCCAGATACACCAGATGTTGTTACTAGAGCTTAATAGCAAGGCAGACGTACTATCCTCATATGGATATATTTATTCTACCTTGCTTTATAAGATAGTCGTTTCTGATTGGTTACTGAATGAGTAATTGTTTCCCATGAACCCCGTTGGAAGATCAGGTATAAATTGCATATACCCGCTGGTAAATTCCGAGCTTCTAATGCGTGATTCAATGTATGATTTTAGTGTATCGAAACTGAACAGTTCAATGCACCATTCGTAACCTGCAAGAAGACTCGTCCCCCTATCGATGAATGTTATGTGCGAAAATACGACCAACCAATCACAATGCGCGTATGATTTCAAGTTCTTCGTCAAAGAATGCCTGAGAAATAATTTTCGATTTTACATATGACTTGCATCTAAAAATATACCCAGGACACAGTTAAATGTGTTCAATAAAATACTGTTTAATTCCGCTAGTCCCGATGTGCTTTAAATGACATCTGAAATATATATAATATATTGGGAAATATGTGTGAACCATTACGCAACGAGTTGACAATTGTTTCAGGTATGCCCGTTTGCGTCAAGATGAAACCCGGTCGCAAAAATGGCCATGATAGAGGCACGAGTCGCTATTTGGCTTGTCCCGGAATAACACGAGTTGGTCACGAATGGTAAATGCACATGCAAGGGCGATAACTCTGGATAGTTTATGCCATTTGTCCGCCGTCAAGATGCCCATTTAACGGGTACATGTTAGAGGGTTATATGGCATGCACCCTGTATGTCAGCCAATGTACCGGTGGACTTATACTAATTTACTTACTGTAATATGTGAAGTTGACGTGTGAGGTTGTCTTGTTCTCGAATGCAATCCATCACTGTCGTCCTCTCTCTGAAGCATAAAGTACATATGTGAAACTCATGTGATGTTTGTTTCTAACTATATGATGGCGATCTGTAACAAATCGAGTCTGGACCGGTCATTGACATCATGAGCATCGATCCACGCAACTGGGATACGATGACATGCATCAACAAAGTCAGCAAGCCTGACCAACTATCCCGTTAGTCGCCTATTACGACAAGCATGGGTTGCTGAAGGCCTTTTCTACCTCGGATGTTCACGGGTCATGTGATGTAGTTGTCATTACTACCATTATTACAATTAATTGATTTATCGTCATAATCATTATCATTTCTGTAGTGGTGGTAGTAGTTGTGGCGGAGGCCATAATTATATTTATTTATTCTTGTACAAATGACAGCACCACCATCATCAGCAGCATCTCTAGTATTAGAAGAGATCAAAACCATCATCGATCCTCACACTTCCAACTCCCGGCTCTTCTCGTGGAACTGCTGTTTGGTAGAGACCAGCTCCCCCTTGACCAGCGCCAGGTTTGTCTGCGTGTCTGTCAGCTCGCTCCTCAGTTGTCTGTTCTCCAGCTGATACTCCTCCACACGTGTCTTCAGACTGCACATGTACTCCTCCGTCTCCCGGCCAACCCTGTCGATACCCTCCTGTAATACAGCCATGGTGGGTTAGTCAGATGGGCTTGACGCCGGGTGTAAAGGGGTACTATGCTCATCTCATTGGCAGACCTAGCACAATCAGTGGATTCAAGTCGTTCAAGCACTTCTTTGGTTTCCTTCTAACAACATATTTATGCTGTATTTACAGATAATGATTACCCTAACAAACCAGAGAGAACGTCCCAGTTCCACACATGGCACTTCTTACACAGTCCAGACCTAGACTGAATATTGGCTCCAGAACGTAGAACATAATATTTTAGTTTTATCACGGCGCGCCAGCTAAATGTGGGAGGAACGCACAAATTGGCGCAAATCTAGACCATTCCTACTTCGGTGAAATCTACGAGCACATGTTTAGTGCTGACTAACCCGGGCTTATAGTCAGGGCAAATTCGAATCTGTGACTCGAACCGAGATCATCGGATCCCATCATGGCTAAGGGAAGTAACTACATGAAAATTGTGAAAATGTTTCTGCGGAACAAAAGGCTCCTGTAACCCTTTGTTTTACTTCCATATGCACGGGGTTAGTAAATTCCTTGGAAAGGATAGAGTTGAGTGTACTTACGCTCTGCATCCTCTTGAGATTCTGCTGCAGCATGGCTATCTCAGCATCCATCAGCTGCTTCATCTCTGCCTTCTCCTGGTCGGATCTCTCCATCTCCTGTCAGGGAAGAACGGACTTTTAGGTAAAGCAACATATTACAGCGGTGCAAGGAGCTTCAAGGGGTACATTGAGTGTTAATGAAGCATTATTTCTGGAAGATTCCAGTTCTTATAATATAAAAAGTAACCTCGGTATAGAAATGGGTTTAGTAGGTCCAGACTTGAATATTTTGAGAATTCCATGAGCTCATTAATTTATGCCAGCAATTGAAGTCAGCGTTGCAAGTGACTGTTTTAAAGCTTAGGCTCACTTGTGTCCCTTCGTGCAGTGAGACAGGGTGTGATCAGGGGTTACTGGTTCGAGCCCATCCCACCCTAAGTAACATACTTGCAGTGACAGCCTGATGAATTATCTGCCTAATGGTCAATGGTGTGGGTACATTTCAATAGGGGCGGTCGGGTAGCCTAGTGGTTAAAGCGTTCGCCCGTCACGCCGAAGACCCGGGTTCGATTCTCGACATGGGTATAATAAGTGAAGCCCATTTCTGGTGTCCCCCGCCGTGATATTGCTGGAATATTGCTCAAAACGGTGTAAAACCATACTCACTCAATTACATTTCAATAAAACGTTCATGAATACATCGAGCTATATGTAATAATATTTTTATTTCATAACAAAAAGCAACAAAATCAAAAAGTAACTGTCCATGCGAGATGGTTTAATCCTGAAAGATTTAAATGGCAATGCATTTGTGTGTAACCCAGATGTAAGATATTAGTTTGAAGAGATGTTTAAATGCAGTAACGGTTTGACATATGATCATCATGTATTTCAAAATTTGTGCATACATGTACACTTTAATATCCAAATGCGTCTATATATGCATCAGAGTTTAATCAAACACTCAAACTACATATGATATTTATTCTAATTGATTCCATTAGCCGTACGCCAGGTCCAAACACAGCTGACATATGTACAAATATATAATGTCAGCTCCACATTCCTTATCAACTAACAAAACAGGTTTATAGATTGATAAGGTGTGAGCTGCATTCTTGCGATAGAAATCTATACAAGTGGCGAGTTTTCCGTTGAAACTGACACGATTCCGTAACAGCTGGCGCTGCTGCGTGAGTCACCATCACTCAGGTACAGCCAGGTATACCATCCCTATCAGGCGGCGCTTTGATGTCTTGGTGGCGGCACTTTGATGTGTTAAACTCGATTGTATATGCATTGTTTTCCGTCATATGTTCAGACAAAGTAATTACAGTGTGTCTACGTTTGCACAGGGCATCTCCACTGGGAAAATGTTTGACAATTATTATTTGTTTTCAACCTGTTATTGGGTGGAGCATCCACACTATGGCAGGGGCTCTATCTGGCGCACCAAGCTCGCATTTGTTTCATTGCAAAAGAAAATTAAAACAAATCTGTGATGAAAATTGTAAAATTGTATATGACTTTTTTTATAAAGTTCGATCATTGTGCTTTTATTCTGTGACAAAATGTGCGACAAAACGTATTTTTGAATTTTTCATTTCTATAACGCACTTCATTGTCTTTTTTCGAGAAGTTTGAAAAGTCGATCTTTTCTTGTATTTAATTTAGCCACAACCCTGTACTGTTTGTACATTCTAAATCATAACAGCTTGTAATCATTTGAATACTTTTGATAAAATCCATGACAATTTTTAGATGTTGATGTCCTTCCATGTGATTTTATACTAATGTATATCAGCGATCTCAGTGACTGAAGAAACTAACCATTTAGAGTAATTATTACCCGAGTGTGTTTCCGTATGGTAAATGTCATATACAAGCAATAAAAAATGTATTGTATAATGCGAGCTTATTCTTTATTCCTGATAGATGATATCAAGGCTACGGAAACAACAAGAATAATAATCTCTACATCATATAACATCTTTTTAAAAATAATTGATGTTGAAGATGTAAATTCACTCAAACAAGTAGCTATATTTCTAAAGCTACTTCTTTGATAGAAATTACATTTTATGATTCTCGTATGAATATAAATGTTTGAGTGAACCGCCCAATGTGTTATTGTCAAATGACTTACAGCCATGTTTCGTCGACAAGCCGTAACTAAGCATATTGGGAACGTTAGTCAATAGTTTATTGAGAAAGAAGGCATCGCATTGATAATTGCAGCTTGAAAGTAGTTCCTCATTTGCATATTTATCGGATCATGATAGCAAGTTTATCGGCTTGGTTTACTGTATCGGTAACACAAGCCTTTATATGATGTAATTATTTATTAAAATATTAATAGAAGCTTATGTCTATGGAACTTACGACTATGTTCTTTATCTCATGTAATTATAAGGACAAAGTATTTTCACAAAACAAATTTGAACGTGTAACACAGAGAGGAGTGACCTGAAACTATCCTTCGAGAAATTCCTCGAGGTAGATTTCAGTATCGATCTGATATGACAAAAACACCGACAGACTACTATCTGCTGAAATCTGCTGACCAGCTTTCGGATATACTAAATGATCTTATAGAATCCTGACATTGTTGGACTCCATGTTTAATTCCTATTATGTCTAACATGGTCTATTGTCCCTGTGGTGCCATGTGCCTAGTGCACTGGCTATGTCGAGTGACCAGCGTTGTGTAGGCGTTGTGGCCTACTTTAAAGGGCTTCGCCAGGGCAAAATGGCAGCCTAGGCATGTTCAATTCAGCGATTCAAACATTTATTTTTGTGTGTTTTATACATAATATTATGTATGGCCAGTGAACGAAGTTTTGTATTTTGCAAATCCTGAGGTCAAAGTATCCGTTTCAATCCCTTTGGGAACAGATTAATCATTTCAACTCCTTCCTTCTGGCTCTTAAATTTTTATATTAAAGTCTATATTCTGGTTCCTACATGTACTCATTAAACTGTAAATTCATAAAAAGGCGAAATTTATTTTTAGAAATACCTTTCGCAGTCCTCTTTATATGGGGTGTTTTTTCGATTTTTTGTCTGTATTATACATATATTATGTAGGGCCAGTGAACGAAGTTTTATATTTTGCAAATCCTGAGGTCAAATTATCTGTTTCAGATCTTTGGGAACAGATTAATCATTTCAACTCCTTCCTTCTGGCTCTTAAATTTTTATATTAAAGTCTATATTCTGGTTCCTACATGTACTCATTAAACTGTATATTCATAAAAAAGGCGAAATTTTATTTTTAGAAATGCCTTTCGCAGTCTTCTTTATATGGGGTGTTTTTTCGATTTTAGCTATAAACAATATGTATAATTTAACAGTATACATTGTTTCTAGTAAATAATGCCTTTAGTTAGATCAACATTGAGCCGTGATTACAAATAATATATACCGCATTCTTCTCTTATTCTAAGTTTGTGATCCTGTCTAAACGTACAATCACTTTTATGTCCAACCAGTCTGTTCATTAAAAATAAATCGACCAAAATATTAGGTATATATTTACTCTTCGTTGTTGTTGCGATTATATACCAAAATACCTATTCAATAATTACATAATTCGATATCATTCATTCGTTTCAGATGTATATTGCTGCCCTTTCGTTATATTTAGTTTACAGTATCAGTCGTTTGATACATTTTCGTTTTATAGGAATAAATGCACTAGCTCAGTGCTGTAAGTCAGATTATATAATTAATTGAATGTCGTTCCAGGTGATGGTGCTCTTACAGCCGGAACTTGTTATTAACTGAGACCTTGTGTATTTTTCACAAGTACAGAAATTTCATTCCTGGACGCCTATTAGCCTTATAGCTCGAATGACACAATGTCGAAGTGTTGCAAGTTGAAAAATAATTAATTTGTCCTTGCGTCGACACTTGAAAGTATTGACATATGTAAATATAGGTAACATGTTAGTTTAGAATATTGTCAGCCTTGACTTTCAAAATTATATTAATCATAATGGTCTCGTCAGGCAACAATAACAATCGCCATAGTTATCGATCCATATTGATTTGTCTCGGTTGTCGCGAAATGTGCAATGTAGTCTGTATTGAACATATCATAATATGTTATTACAACGAACTGCTGCAGTTTTAATGTACACGTATATGTCTATTCATCACATGTTCTCAGCATTAAATGTAGAAATTAAGTTGATGATCTGTGTATTAGGTTGCTTGAATACCGTGATAATGGCTAACTTATACGAAAATGCTTTTTACTTCACGGAACACAGACAAATAACGAAAATAGGGCGTCTTTATAACGCTAAGTTAGAACATTGTTAGACTTGACTTCCATAATAATATTAATCATGGTGTCTTTTCGGGTATTAATAATAACCAAACTTATCGACCCATACAATAATCAGGTCGATGATCTGTTTATTATGTTTATCAGAAAATGTTTTTAACTCCACGGAACAAAAACATGTAACAAATATAGGTCATTGATAATCTTCATAACATACCGATACTGATTATGCTAATTGTGCCTCTGTCACATATGGCGTGAAAGGGACAAACACGTGATGTAAATAGACAACAGGAGGTGGAAAATCAACATTAATTGTAATTCAAACCCGTAGGCAGAAATAACTGATATACCATATTCAGCCATCGCGGATCACGTTGGTAAATTAAATCCTGAACTATGAGCAAGGTTGACACTGTATCAATCTCATAGCAATTCGTCTCGCGGGTGTGTGCATGCTTATATACAGATACATTTATGTTGAAATGGCAGGTCATATTTTGCTTGGGATAAGGTGATATTTACTTTAATGTAAACTCGCTGGCGATTTTGACGCGACAGACTCGCGATCCGGTCGCGACCACGGTCACGACTGGCTTAGCCATGGTCGCAAGGGACAGAAGTATGTCTTCTGGTTAAGGCCATCAGTTCGACATCAATGGAATACATTCACTATCGGTTTCCAGATTACATATATATTTAGTGACATCTACTATGACATTTGTAGCGGATTCGTCACGAGGTTAGTTAGTGAGCATCCTTACCGCCTTTTTGACGCGTTCTTCCACTTTCTGTGTGTGGACATCCATCTCGTCCTCGAGACTCCGCAGGTGGCGCTCGTGCTGTTCCTTCTCCCTGCAGATATAAACAGACACTATTAGATACAAAAATATAATAACAGACATTAACATATCAACAGACACGTGCAGACATCAACATACACTAATATATATCAACAGACACAGATATCAACAGACACGTAAGAATATCAACATACACTAACAGATACTTTGCAGAAAATGTATTCATACATATCGCAGAGTTCCCTAATTCTGGGAACACCCATGTGAGGCTTGGGCCGATCTTTCTTTGTTGGTCGATTGCACATATCTACAAACTCTGTAAAGTGCATTCAATAGAAGAATCGGAATAACCTCGTGTGGCTTCTTGAAGTCATGCATAACCTTTAAACTGACTATACTTCAAAAACCGCGTTTGAGAAGAGAAACTATCAACAGCAGTGAACAAAGCGTCTGTCTACCTCATCTTCACAGTGAAGTTTTTGGCCCTGAACATTATTTCGTAAGCCACGTTGTCCTTGACACTTGACAAAATCTCTCTCTTAGAGCATACTGTCCTGCATATTCGTTGTTCAAAGCATATTGTCATACATATTTGACAACACCAACAAATCTTAAAACGGATTGTCCAAAACATTTAACGACATCAGTATCTCTTGGAGTGTAAATCCCTGCGCATTTGACAACTTCTTCATCGTTCAAAGTAGATTGTCATGGTTATTTTAACATACACACCACTGAAGCACAGTGAGGGTTACCCTCTGTATCCATGGCAACATGACGCTCACCTCTTGAAGGTCTTCTCCAGCCTGTCATTCTCCTGCTGGTATACCCGGATGTCCTTGATGACCCCCAGGATGATGTTCTCGAACTGAGTCAGCAACTCCGGGTTCTCGCTGGCGTGCAGCGTCTGGTACAACTCGATCACCTGCTCCTGGCTGAATATACAACACACGATATAGGATACAACACAGGATATAGGATACAACATACAGGCTACAACATAGAGGATAAAGGATACAACATAGAGGATATAGGATACATCATACAGGATACAATATACAGAAAATAGGATACAACACAGGATATAGGATAGAACATACAGGATACAACATAGGATATAGGATAAAGCATACAGGATACAACATAGAGGATATAGGATACAACATGGGATAAAGGATACAACATAGCGGGTATAGGATACAACAAAGAGGATATAGGATACAACACAGGATTAAGGTTACAACATACAGGATACAACATAGGATATAGGATAAAACATACAGGATACAACATAGAGGATATAGGATACAACACAGAGGGTACAAAAAAAGAGAATATTGGATACAACATAGAGGATATATGACACAACATTCAAATTATAGGATACAACATACAGGACATAGGCTGCAACATAGGACAAAGGATACAAAATACAGGATACAATATATAGGATATACAACATAGGGGATATGGGATACAATATACAGTATACGGGTACGAGACACAGGTTGCAACATACGGGATGCATCAAAGAGCATACGCGACACATCCTACGGGTTTCATCATACGGGATATGGGATATCGGTTGCAAAATAATATTGATTCCTGAACACACATATCACTGTCATCTCTGGCAGATAGTTTGAATGCATTGTGAATGTGATACATAAATATCATGGATATCAAATTTGAGTCGCGTTATAAGTTACACTGCGTATATATGAATATTTGAGCACGCTTCCCTGAATACATTTGTAGTTACTAGAAACACGTTTGTATTGGCCGGAGTGTTGAGGTCAAATTACAGTCAGCTGACCACTACGGTGGGACACGGACAAAGAGTAATGTCTATTGTATACGCGAGATGTGTTTGAACATATAGAATATTAAACTCGCTCCCGTGTGAAACCAATTTTATTAAACGAGTAGCTGGTATCTGACCAGTCCTATTCACTGGTTTCATTCACTGGTATTACACGGAGCAAGTTTAGTGTTTGACATCACTGCACTGGAATGTGAAGCTACGCCAGCGAAACAATGCCCTATGACGTCATCCTGGCAACAGGGTTGCTGGGGTCATCGAGTGTGCATAAGCTCCTCTCGGTGATCTATCATCTTCACATGCCATGTCATTGAATAAGCCCCGCGATGTTGAGAGATTTCAAGATCTGTTGTGAATCTAGTTCCGGCAGTATGTAAGCATTGGATTTGGTATTAAACACTGTGTAATACAAGCTTATTGTTATTAAACAGTGGTGCCTTCAACGGACGAGTAAAAACATGCTTTCAATGGGTTGCTTGAATACCGTGTGCACTCTTAGTGAAATGTATACAATTGATTGTTTATTGACATATCAATGTACATTATATCTCTTATGTATATTTATCGTGGGAGGGACTATCCATTTGATAACTACGTTTGTTGTTGTTGTTGTCATCAACAACAAATTCAATACCAGTCCACCATGACGTTGCTTACAACTTCTTCCGTTCCTGACGTCACTAGGACACGGTTACGTAGGCGATAGATAGTGGCTATACATGTACGTCGGTATTCAACACCTGTTGCATTTGACACAGGTAACTATAGCAACATGGCGTGATACGTTATTGATCGTAATATCATCTTTCACTGGAGTTATCGCCCTTTGTGGTGTGAGAATTTGAATCTGTTATCGGGACTTATTCGAGTGTGTGCGATATGGGTCAAAAATGATTGTGTATTGACAGAACTTGTTGGTCCTTTGAAGCCGAAAGAGTAAATAAGTTAATTTATTCTTACTTGCCAGAAAATTAATAAATAAACAAAGCGTAATATGCCATCAGAACAGTACAAGTGTTATAGACACCTTAACCATGTTTGCTAGCATGTTCGTATATTTTGTTACTGTTTTCTTTTGTTACAATAGTAAATAAAAAGGTAAATTCCCAGCTGAATATTATGTACATGCATATATAACGTTTGCACAAAGTGTTCATATGTTACACTGTACTTCAGTATATCATGGATAGACGCGAGGGCTTGGGTCATATTCAATATGGACCTACTAAACCACATTTTGCTTAATATTCGTTAACTGTATTACATTGTGATGTGGTGGTGTAACCTTGTGGTTAAAGGGGGTCGATTCCTCTCATTATAATTCTTTAGTCTTCAGTAAGGATGTGGCTGTATTAGTTCTTAAGGCGACGACAACCATGCTCAATTAGATGCTAAGTACACATCATTAAACCGACATTAAACATGTCCGTATCCCCATATAAACTAGATACACTAGTCTTGGCCTGATGGGCAGCCCCACCAACGGAATCGGGTTCTGAGTATCGTTGTACAAAACAACCGTAGCGCTACAACTGTCGCAAGTCTATGTTAAGGTATGGGAGCTACGATCACCTTAGCGCTAAGGTTATCTTGTACAACGGTACCCTGGACTTCAAAAGGACACCAGTCCCTCTTTAAGGACATGTATCCATTAGAGACCAAAAAAGTAATATTCTGGAAAGAGGGGACGGTGTTTTTTTTGTATGTTCTACGCTGCAGGACATTTTTCACTCTCTGTCAGGTGGGGCCAAACAAGTATTGTCGACCCCACACCTATTGTTTCCGAGTGTCCAGCATGTTCAGTGAACGATATATTTTGGGGGTGTAAAACATGAGGACAAAGTATTTCTGCCATAATTTTAGTAATAAATTATTTTTTTTCAAATCACCGGTCCTTGAAGTCGGGCAGTGATGAAACATAGCCTCGATATGGTATAAACAGAGAAACAGTAAACCAAACACAAACTTACGTCGAATTGTAGAAGTATTCATAAACCCATCTATTTGCTCAACGTCATTTTGGGTTTCAAAGATGTAAAGAATTCTTAAAGATCAGTTTATTTAATAGTACCGAGAAAATATTTTATCAGGTTTAAAACGTGTATAATAACAAAACTATAACCAAACTTAGAAATTTCCTATTTCTTCCCCAAAAATATATTTACTGATTTTAAAAGTACATCAAATCAATATTTGCCCATTGTAACTGAGAGAAGACTGTGTCTGTACTCTATGATATTTATCTGCTATCGGAGACGAGTTTGTCTTTCTTTTTTATGTGAAGCTCTTCTCCAACAACGACTTCTTTATATCACAAAGAATTGTTATATATCTGGCCAAAAATGTGTAAATTACATAAAACATTATTACCTAAACATATATCCACATTGGAAAATCTGTCCAGATTCATTGTACATATGAATATACATGTATTGTTACGTTAAAATGTCTAAATCACATTAGTATGTTGTCTCTTGATCCATATTGAATCTATTAGATAGATAGATCGTTTTATGTTAATCCTATCTCTTTCAGTCACTGGGGGATGAAATAGATCATAAAAATGTTAGAAATTCGTTATTATTAAACAATGCATGGAAAAATAATTGTAAAATGGCTGAAATATTTTGGCGTGTTGTAAATTGCCAAAGTGAAAAGTGTCATTTTGCATATTATCTGTTACATATATATATATATATATATATACTATTGTACCATCGTTGGTGGATTTTCGGAGAAATATGCTGAACTGTTACAGAGCTTAACTGAATTGACGTTTTTACAAGGTCTAATACTGCACACGCACAGTCCCGTGGTTCGCACCTGGGTTCAACCATATGCATGTTTACATAGTGACACACGCAGGCTTCTCGCCCATCTGACAAACATCCTCATCTCTGCACGCTGCCAGCCACGTTGATGCTCGGTAAATGTCAGTGAATACGTACAGGGAGTACACACATAGGGAGGAACAGCTGACTTCCCTCGTACAGAAGTCCGTGCATATATTACTCGTACATGAAAGGTAGCTGATAATATGTGAGGGAGGTCTCGAGTACATTACATCGCCATTTTAATCTATTGTATTATGATAGTCCTTCCTTTCTACGACCTTTGTCAGGGGGCATTTCTTAAAGACCTATTTTACCTTTGATTCGGCCAGTGCGGCTTTTCTTTGAAAGTTTCAACATTCTTTGACAGTGAAAGGTTGGATTTAGATGTTGTAAGGCAATTAACACTAAGCTTTGGGCGCCGTTTCGCACGTTTCATAACACTGAATGTGACCTAGTGAAAGAACCATTAAGAAGCACAATGGGGCTAACTTGTTAATCCCGCCATTAACATTGTGACACAGCGAGCAAAACCACAATAGCCTGTTCGTGTCAGTCAGAGCACGAGGCCTGGCGGGATGTTTATATATTTTTATAAATGGTTCTCATTATGTCCTGGGTCGTCATGCATCCTCAACGATATTTTTAGGTCGACCAGTGCGATTTTTGGTTTTGTACGATTCAAAAATCCGGTTTTAATTCTATTTCTGGCCATGTTGATATCGTCCTAAATTTAACGCTTACCTTTCTTTGACCTTACTATGTTTGTTTGTTTGTTGTTTAATGCCGCACTCAGCAATATTCCTGCTGTATAACGGCGGTTTGTAAATAATCGAGTCTGGACCAGACAATCCAGTGATTGACATCATACGCATCGATCCACGCATTTGGGATCGATGTCATGCATCAACTATGTCAGCGAGTCTGACCACCCGATCCCGTTAGTCATGGTTGATTTAATTGCCTGCCTAGAATGAATGGGGGGTGAACCTTGTGATTTTGAAAATAAGCTTCTGTTCAAAATGTTATCATTCTTATTATTTGGTTTTCAATGCCGTTATGAGCATATTGAAGTTCTGCCATCCGCTGCACATACAACATAGTCGCATTAATGTGGGTGCACGTATCGTGCAGTTGCATTAATGTGGGTAACACATATTGTACAGACGCATTAATGTGGGTGCAACCGTTGCACGTATCGTGCAGTCGCATTAATGTGGGTTATACATATTGTACAGACGCATTAATATGGGTGCAACCGTTGCACGTATCGTGCAGTCGCATTAATGTGGGTTACACATATCGTACAGACGCATTAATGTGGGTGCAACCGTTGCACGTATCGTGTGGGCTTACAGATATTGTACAGACGCATTAATGTGGGTGCACCCGAATTGACACAGTTTGTAGACATGAACTTAAAAGTGGAAATCCACGGTCTTAGGTATGGTGCTGAAAAAACAAGGATTATAATCGGGACAAAACAGGGATTCGAACATAAGACCAGTGAATCCTGATACTGCTAAGGGGCGTAACTCTCTACTGTACGTGTTAGCTCTATAATGTATATGTACATAAGGGCGGTAGTTTGCAGGCCTTTTCAAAAGTTCAAGATCCATGGGTAATACATTCACAACGGTATCCATACTTAGGAAGGGATACTTTCTCGGGGGATTGTCAGAGGGCCTTGACGTAGTAATTAAACTATTTTATGTTCCGTGACTGACACATTGGCCTTAACATAAAGCGGCTTGCCTAATCCGTAGAAGTTGATCGTCTACCGTGTTTTCGTTTAAAAACGTTTACGGTATTGTACACTGGGATCGAAAGGGAATGGCCCTTAATCGACAGTCGTGTTGATATGGCCTAAAATAAATCACGCGTACACATTAATGTTAGAGAATACTGCTGTATAAGAGCGGTGACGAAAGGTAGGGGTGGTTGGGGGGTCTTTACCATCTCGTACTGACCTATATCCTGTCGTTTACACATACAATGTACGATTACCCTCGACTGCGTATTTGACAATGGCGGATGGGACAGAAACCCCGAGTTATACAACATTGGAACAATAACGTGAGTGAGTGAGTGAGTTGGGTTTAACGCCGCTTTTAACAGTATTCCAGTTATATCACGGCGTGTCAGCTTAATGTGGGAGGAAAGCCCGAAGTGATGCAGGTCTCAGACGTTTACCACTTCGGTGAAACCCACGAGCACGGGTATGGTTCGAACCCACAATCATAGGTTTCTGGCGTGCCCAAGGGACGCAACTCTGCACAGCGAATCGCGGCGCCTTAGACGACTGGGCCACCTGTGCCCCATGAACTATAATGTGAACTATATTTGTCGGATGCGTCACGGTACGAGTATTGCATACAACGTGGCATTTCCACGTGACAATATATTGTAACGGAGCGTCGCGATACTGAACTTAGTTATCGACCTCGGCCCTTTCCGTGCTAACTTGATACCTCTTTAGTCTGTTCAAAAGTATGTAGCGGAAATCATTAGATTCATATCTTATATTCGTATCATACATGTGCCCCACGTGTCGATGTTCCTATACAGTAACACCTCGTCATTGCGGACCCGATTAGACCGGAAATATTACAATCGGGGCGATAATTCTTCGGATCGTTTACTTAAGAATTGACTTTCACTTTGTGTGTGTTCATTGGAGTATGAACCTTCATAGAGTGAGGGCCAAACTGTATGAACGTCGGAGATTGCGACAATCAGTTCCTTACAGCCAATTACCCTGAGAATAGCCACCGTTTTAAAGACACATGAACATACCCTCGAACATAGGATACACCTGTGCAGTTAGACTAACGCTTAGTCGCTGAAAATATATAATTGTAATAGAGACAAGCCGTTACATTTAAATGGAAAAGAAGCCTCAGTGAAACTCCGTGAACCTGTGGAAAATCTAGACTTGCTTCAGTTAGGGCTATAGCATTGCATCAGTTTCAACTAAGCACGGGACATCGCTGTAGGGCTTACATTGGTCACTCAGGGATAGGCTGTGTCCGAGTTATAAACGCATCTACTTGCCGCGCCTCCAACCTGTTTAAACCTTATACATGCTCATGTCATGTGTGAAGCCATATGCTAATGCCTGGGGTTGTTTAATGTATGGTTGAATGGGCACAAGAGATACGGTTGCGGTTTGCTTTAGTGGGTCAAACCAATTAGATGAATGTATCTGGTGAACATTTACTGTTTCGGATCACGGGTTTACTTACGTCTTGTTAATGTAATGACTAAGCTGCTATACAGAGGTTTGTGCGGCGATTATCCGTTTACGTGATCTTTGTGGCTTGCCATCGTGGAATGTCTGTGAATGTTGATACAACTATCACAACACTGTGGAACTATTAGAAAAATACAAGCGTTTGTCGAAAAAGGATAAAAGAAATCATTCTCTTTGATCCATAGACCGTGGATGGTTGATTAAAAAGTATTGAACTAACAGACCTCGGCAGGAATTGGATGATTACACGAGAAGAATTAAATATGTGGGTAATTAACTGTTACAATATTAATTGTCACACAGCTGTCAACAAAATAGTTAAACCCAGTAAACATTATGCCAGTGAACATATTATCAGAAATTATGCTGTCGTGTGAATAGCGAAGTTATGAATAATACCTACTCACTACAAAGACGCAAGTCACAACACAGATATGTAGAATCTAATATGTACGCATTAGTGACAGTAACAAAGATATTAATATTGACTTTAAATGGCATGCAGAGTGCAGATGCATTCTCTTTTACTGCGTTAAATTAAACAGATACTTACTGTGAACTCATACCATTTAAAATAGAGAACATATTTCAACGTTCGTTAACATAGGAGCAATTTTATTTCACAATTACGTACTACGAGTAATGATGACATTGATTTATGTAAATACAGTAAAAAATCTGGATTTCGTGAACCTAGTCATCATTGTAACTGCCTACGTAGTTAATCTTCATATATAGCCACTCAGCATGGTACCACCTAGCGCAGAGATGCCCCGCAGGTGGTGTACTTCAACTGTGTGAAATCTCATGTGTCATTTCTCAAGGTTTCACAAAGAAATGTGCCTATTACGCCATGACGAAGCTTTTTCTATTGAAGCAAAAACCCTATCTTTGCATGTCTGCACTAATTGTCACGTTATGTAATAAGCGATGCTCAAGCATATCTCCTTGTCAGCTACTATTATTTATTTATCTATTACATAACACTACTCGTTAGACCTTCGATCTATTGTTCAGACATTTCTTGATAAAATATTAGATAAACAATGGACATTTATGTAAGACCATATATACTACTCATAAGAAGTTAAAGAACACCAGATTATTTCATATTACTGTAGTTAACCTGTCATACCATGACAGATCAATCATGACAATATGAAAAAAACATGGTACCATCAACTTCTTTTAAGTAATATATATCTGATATCTGTTAAGTATTTAACGTTTGCATTGAAGTGTATCAGTAGGTTTTCTGTGCTCGTGAAACATTTTACCCATTTAGACAGATTTGTTTAGATTATGGTGACATTCAATGGACAGTCACGTGATAGGATCTCAGCTGAGCATCTGATTTACGTATGGTTTGCAACAGAATTGTTGTTTTTTTAATTGTGTTTTCGGAGTCTTTTCCCTCCATTTACATTATGGGGTATAAACATGTTCGAAAACTGACCCCCTCCAATTTGACCCCACGCATATACATAACAGTATACAACCATTAAAACCATTGCAAAACATGAATGTCCCCAGGGCCCTATGGCTGGTCAAACAGGTTTCGGCTACTTCATAAGTAATGTTGTACATTGAACAAGTAACAGTTCTTTAACACGTGTTAATTAATACGACTTGGTCAATGGCGGAATTTTCTTAAAGACAGTATTGACAAAACCCAGCAGGGTTAACGTTGGGTTAGCAGTTCCTTCTAAAACATCCCTTTATTACTAGTTGTTTTAGTGCAGTCCTAGACTAACGCTAAGGCTCTGAAAATATATTACTTTGAATAAAACAAACAACTACATATACAATCGAAAGGGGCCTCAGTGAGATTCAGAACCTGAGGTAAATCTAGACTTGCTTAATTTAGGATTACAGTCATGGCTGGGAGGAAGGGACCCCTTTTACTCGCTTGTAGACCCATCAGCGATACCCTGAAAGGGAAATTGTTCCACGACCATGCGTCCTTTGCCAGTCTAGATTTAGACGTTTAATCAGTGCCATGTTTGAAACTGAGACATTTGTCTGAAACTTTGTCTGAATAAATATGGTAATTGTTAACACTTTGATTGATATATATCATAAATTGTCATTTGATATTGTAAAAAAAAAGGTTTTAGGGGCTTGCCTCAAACTCCCTAGGACTGCCATCTTGCCGGGGTCAAGTCCAAATGGACATAGCTGTTTGACCACGGACCTATATGTGGTTTGACTAATGAGTTGGGTAATATCGAGGCAATAGTTGTTTTATACCGAGGCGATATGATTTGAGACAAGAAACGTTAACTGATGGATGTATCGTGGATATATATGGCTTTGTTGGCCATATGGATCATTTGTTATAATTAACACATGCAACATTTCTTAGCAGATCTTGACCCGTCGGAGCTCAAACTTAACGGCTAATCTGATGTCATCGGGCAAATGTCATTACGACCTTAGAACGTATCAGTAGCACATAACACAGTAAGCCATGTGCAGATGACAGGTGATAAATAAAACAAATTATCGAATGTTCAGGTATAAATTACAATTTGGTTATAGCTACCGAGCGAAAACGGAACCAACTGGCGAAAACGGAAAGGTCACGTCGACAAAACGGTTACTATTGCAAAGCAAAAATGGCACCTTAATTTTCGCTTTGTTTTTCCAAACAAGCAATACATTGAATTATACCTACAGGTTCGGATGCAGACACAAATGATTAATGTTGATTGCCATGTGTACATTAGAAATTATCCTCAACTCCAACTCTTTCGCCGACACTGATTGGAAGACGGAGCTAGAAATATTTAAAAGCATCACATACTTTGAAGATGCAACAACGTGTTTTAAAATTAAAAGCAAAAAAAAGCGACAGCACAATAAAACATATGGCCAAAACCCAATCAGCGGTCAAGTAGGGTCGTTGAATCTGTGACCGATGGTTTTGATACATTCTGACAGAAAAGGCTCAACATGATCTCTCTACCCACCTAGTCTCCGAGAAGACACCCACATCAAGATCCTCCGGGGATAGGTTTATGTATGCCCTGTTGTCCGTCCAATTTGTATGTCCTTGTGATATGCGCCTTTTTGTGGGGGTCGAACTTTTATTGTCCGCTATTTCAAATCTCAAGTCCTCTAGAGTTATATGCCCTTTGTTATCGTGGTCCAAGGCGTCGAATATGATGTCCAGTTCGTCCGACGAAAGACGCAATACTTGGGAGATGTCTGCTAGTTGTTCCTTTGTAATGGATTGGTTCAGATCGTGAAGGTTCAAAGCACCACACAACTTATTTATTTCCGGCGAGACTGGCTCATGTGCCATCCCAGAAGATCAGGTCATTCAAACGGCTGTTGTCTGCTTCCCTCAGCCTCGTGTGTGTCATTCCGCTTGAAAAAGTAAACTCCAGATTTAGTTACTATCTGCCATGTTAAGCCAAGGCCGGTCTGGTGAAATTAATACAAGAGTTTTGTCCCAAATTAATATCTACACAATATGCAATATCTCCAAGCTAGCGACGTTGTTGCCGTGCACACCCGTGAATGAAGGTCAAAAATCGTTCATGAGATCGATTTAACAGACAGCAAACAGTTCTTCAGTATGTCTATTGACAAGGGCACGATTCAGCTTGACTGTATTCTATCAAAAACTCTCGAAGTCTGACTCAAGATCGAGGTCAGGTCGAACGAGAATAGCTTACACCTTGAAGGCAAACACTGTAGACAGACGACACCACTTGTGAACGTCCATAATTTTTATGGCTCGTTCAGTCTCTTTTCTTAATAACACAACACAGACTGTAAGTTATAAATCTGAGTTATAACACAGCACGTGGATGTACGGTTATAACAAACCGAGTTCAACCGTTAAACCAAATGCTGAGCTTGTGTATGACAAGGGGTCCGTTCTGTATGTTCCAAATGGTCCGTCACTCGCGATTATTCCCTGTCGCTTTCAACTTGTTCCCGTTTGTTTCCTTTCCCTTCTTGTCGACAAGTCCTGTTTCTTCCAGTATGAGTGAACTCAGGAAACATGTGAATGTCTACATGGGCACGTAACGCCACATCCGACAAGCTTCAGGTCACCGGTTACTGCAACAGGTCCCGTCAGGAGGCTGTGTAAAGATGCGAGGCGAGGCCGATAGCTGATGTTTAAACCCTCTAATCTGTCCTTCAATCCCCAATCAGAGACACAAGCTCATACCGACACGGTTCACTAACGACGTAACAGTCCCAATGTCAACACCTTGTTGTGCGGCTTTGTGTGCGCCTCAGCGTCACAGCTCTATCTTCATTGACAGTCAGACTCCCGCGACGAAGAAAGTTTTGCTCACAGGACAATGCGAAGTGGCTATTGTTCCGAATGGCAGTTCATCCGACACCCTGGTTTGTTTCGTCAGTTCACAAGTCCTTTTAACGAGGATGGTGATCGTCCACATATTATCACCAATGTTTTCCTAATGATTTAGACGCTCCCACAAACGTCCTAGAATCACATGTCTTGCAGACATATCTATAATTAACTGTTAATGACCCCAGGAGATAAGACTAGATAACGCAGGGTTGCAAAATGGTACACTGTACAAAGTTCTCCTTGAAAATTATTCCGTGAAATCTTGCTGAAGGAGATATTCATTCCGTGTGTTAATATTCCTGGCACAGAACGACTCATAAATGCATGTTCCGGCTAGTAGCATCGGCTGCCGTTGATGCAGAAGGTAAGTAGAACAACGACTATTTCTGGTTTAGATCCGGGTGTACATCCAGAGGTATGTCCACGTCTTGTGACTGCCAGGGTGACATCTCACAACAAGAGCCACGCCACAACAATATGAAGGAACGGATACCTATAAAATTGACATATACTCGAGATGGTGTTTCAGGTTTGCCAGTTCTATTGTAGTGATGTTAAAATTCCAATACGATGGCAACAGGTGGGAGATTCATACGCCATATATTTCGATCACGGAGGCTATCCGTCAACAAAGTGCGAGCACGGGGCAGAACATGCTGCATTGTTGTTCCGGGAGAGGTTACAGGAAAGAGGAAGATAAAATCATTTATTGACGTTGAAATGTCCCAGTTTGAAGTGAACGGAACCGACATTCTGTCTACAGTTCAGTGCATATGACAACCAACATACACTGGCAATGTACGTTATTGATTGTTCTCGATATCCGACAGAGCATATGAAATACACGATTGGCTCCATTTGCTGATAACTAGCAGCTAGAGCCTATGTCAGCAATCCAGATCTTCGAAATATCCAGACCTTCGAGTTAAGGGGGTTCGAGATAGGATTTAGGCAAGTCGTAATTCAATCACAGAAGGTTGGGGATTACAAACAAAGACAAGAAGAATGAATTCTTTTATGACTAGGAAACCATGCTAACAAGTCCTTCATGGTTACAAGGGCTTCCAGATGACTAGGGGTGCAGGATAACAAGACCACAAAGATAACAAGCACTTCCTAATGACTTTTGGGCGGTCGGGTAACCTAGTGTTTAAAAGCGCTCGCTCGTCACACCGACGACCCGGGTTCGATTCCCGATATGGGTACAATGTGTGAAGCCCAATTCTGGTGACCCCCGCCGTGATATTGCTGGAATATTGCTAAAAGCGGCGTAAAACCTCACTCACTCGTAATGACTAGTGAGCCTTGTTTACATGACCTTCCTGATAACAACGACGTCTTGATGAATCGGGACTCGGGATAGCAATGGGCTACCCAGGACAAGGGACCAAAGACAACATGTATTTATCAACGACTAGGGCGCCATGATAACGTGTTTAGAGACGACTAGGGCGTCATGATAACATGTATTTATCAACGACTAGGGCGCCATGATAACATCTGTTTAGAGACGACTAGGGCGCCATGATAACGTGTTTAGAGACGACTAGGACGCCATGATAACGTGTTTAGAGACGACTAGGGCGCCATGATAAAATGTGTTTAGAGACGACTAGGGCGCCATGATAACACGTGTTTAGAGACGACTAGGGCGCCAAGATGAAAAGTGGTTTCCGAAGACTAGGCCGCTAAGATAACAAGCGTTTACCGACGATTAGTACGCCAAGAAAACGAGTGTTTACCTACGACTACATACTGAGGAGGGAGGATAACAGTTCCTTCTGGACAGCAAGCGTTAACCGATGACCAGAATGACAGCATAACAAAACCTTCGAAATAACACAGACGTCAATGTAGCAAGATATTATCAATGGAACCAGTGACGCCACAAGGCGTATATTAACTTAGAGTCCATATTACCAAAACCATCTCAGTTCTAAGGTGATCGTAACACCCATAATTTAACGTAAGCTCACGATATGCGGAGTCTTCGTTGTAATTTTTCTGATCTATTCTTGGATTTGGGGAATTTCAAGAGTATGAACTATATAACGAGTCAAGGACGACTGCAGGTAAAGATGGACTGAACAATACTTAAGTCGTATGTTTGAGTAACAATTGATAAGGAGTGAACTCACAAAAAGACTGGTCTTAACTTTGGTGCAACTGTTTGTGTTGACGGACTATGGATCATTATCGGGACCAAACTGTAATTCAACCCCGCAACCAGCAGATTCTGGTTCGGATAGGGGACGCAACTCGCTCAGACCACGGGTTTATCGTGCCATATAATGTACATGCATTGTGGATACATACGCCGATGAAAAGAAATTGGGGAACAGCGTATCACAATAATTGGTGACGATTCCGCACAACGTCTTACAGTCGATTCCAAAACAGCATACCGTAATGGATGAAATACACTCTCGTATTGTTAAATTACGCTTCCAAATTCATTGATATTTGGTTTGTGTAGGTTTAATACATGCAGCGGTAATTTAATCACAACATGCAGTCTTTGAATTTATGAACCTTACAATAGTGGCGGCCTCGCGCACTCCACGGCCTTCACGACTACAACAACAGCGTACAGCGTTATATCAACGGTTCTACTTATGACGGGGTCGGTCGGGTAGCCTAGTGGTTAAAGCGTTCGCTCCTGACGTCGAAGACCCGGGTTCGATTCCCGACATGGGTAGAATGTGTGAAGCCCATTTCTGGTGTCCCCCGCCGTGATATTGCTGGAATATTGCTAAAAGCGGCGTAAAACCACACTTACTCACTCATTCACTCACTACTTATGACGACGCCATTGAGCTGCCAGACCTTATTGTAAGTGTGCACCAAGAGGATGTATTGACAGCGTGGAGCATTAAACTTAACCTGTGTATATTACAGTACATCAACACATTCAAGGTCACGCCACGTCACATGAATATGACAAATGTTTATAAATATTTATTAAAGCACCTGTACTATTTTAATTTATGAGAAAGGAAAGCTATATGCCAGCTGATGCAGATAGAATGTCACACAAGTATAATTTATTATCTACCACAGCTGTTGAAATTCATCCTGATAAGCAGCCAATGTTTTTGTTTCAAACAAAAGAAGCCTGTGTGAATTGGTGTTTTTGCAGAGCGACATGTGCTGTGGGTACGGTGTGCTCTGTGAAAGTGAGTGGACATTGACACACGGCCAGCAACATCTAAACAGCTTCACAGTACCCCGGGGATCTATCAAACCAGTGGACGATGGTGCGAACATCGATCTTTTTAAAACAATAATCTGTTCCCGAAACAGCTGGAAATATATTAAAAAGCTTTACACAAAAATAATAAATCGTTTACCTGACATATAGATGTTCTGGGGAAATATGTTGTGGATAAGACATTGATGCAAAAAGATATGAAGCAAACATCCCAGTAAAGACACGCACACGCACGCGCACGCGCACACACACACACACGCACACACACGCACATGCACATGCACATGCACACGCACATGCACGCGCACGCGCACACGCACGCGCACACACGCACATGCATACGCACATGCACATGCACGCACGCACAAACGGACACACACACTCAAAATCATCACTCAGACCAAGTCACCCAAAGACCAAGGTTAAGAGAGAGAATTTGAGGAACGAGTTAAAGTAAATTTCTTGAAACGTTTGTCGATAGGTGAAATAGAAAAGAAATATTTCAATTTGCTTGCTTACCTTGAAATAGCTCTAAGTCCTTCGTCCAGTATGCCCACAAAGTCATCCTCTTGATCAATGATCTTGTCATCTGAATTCTGACTCTTCAAACGTTCCCGCATCTTAACTCGACTCTTCGTCTGGAGGGCCTCGCCGATTTCCGTGAACCCTCGGGCGAACTCCTCGACACTGATTCGGCCATCTCCGTCTTTGTCGAGCTGACTGAAGACATCGACTAGTTCGTCTTTCGATAGTTCGGAACACACGGCCTGGAGCTCGTTCTGGTCGATGTAGCCGGACCCATCCAAGTCGCAAGCCCGAAACAGTTGGCCCAGTTTGGACTCAGCCTCGCTTTGGTCCATCGGAGGCGATTCTCAATCCAGTTGGCGCTGAATCGATCGTTGTCTCTAATATGGTTGGTTTGCGTGGTGTGCGATGACTATGCTACTCTGAAATGAAATATTAAATACATTTAATAAAATAAAACAGCGTAACGGAAATGTCAGATACATTTAATCGAAACCACATTAAACGTAGTAACCTCAAAATCATATACAGTGGATCTGGTAGACAACGTTCTGAATACAATCGTTCGGATTGACGAATACAAGACGAGTGATTGAGTGAGTCTTTGTATGGAGCTTTGTATGCATATGAACGTTCCCAACATATCGCCCAGAAATCGAAGTCTCCGGACGGACGGGGCTTCACTGTAACTAATTTAGACACCACAGGGTCAAGAACGCCGTGACTTGACCGAAATACTGTTCAAGACAGCGTTAACTTAACCCACACACTCAAGGAAAAGTAAACAGTATCTTTCATGTTAGAAGATTAACGACACTGCTACTTTGCCTGAGTGATCGGGGTGGGTTTAACATAGCTTTGAACAGTATTTCAGCAGGGTCACGGTGTCCCTGTTTCTGGAAGAAAACAAAATACTGCTCACCATGAAGCACAACCGTAAACATACAAAGCATATATACTACCTAAAAGAAAGTAAAAGGACACCCGATTCTTTAATTATTACTATACTTGATCTGCCATGCTCTGATATTAACTACAGTAATATGAAATAATTGGGTGTTCTTTAACTTCTTTTGAGTAGTATACCAACAAACCATACACATACGAACCGTTTTCATGTGAAGTAGCTCAAGTAAGAGCAGCTTGCAAAGTCTATCCAATCTGTAAACATTTTTCCTGATACTACAGTTTCGATTCTCGATCTGTGTTTTACATTTCTTATCTCTATGCGTCGCAAAATATAAAACAAAAAGATAGAAATCATGACAGATTGTGTTTTTCCAATTTTAACTTATAGCTGTCACGGAAAGTTAGAATCACAGAACTCTGTTCTTTGAAGGTCATTTGTCGTAGGCGAGTTTCGCCGACTCCAGCACACTGATGCTATAATTACTGCACGCAATGGTGACAAAGAAGGGTGCCGATGACGGTCAGATGTTATTTTTTCTTCTCAGTTAGTGCTGCATCGTGGGCATTGAATGTCCTTGGCCTTTAGACGTTGTGGTGAAAGTTTAGAAACTTTTAGTTTACCTATATTTATTTGTTCATGACTGTTGTCGTTTTTGTGATCGAGCGAGTTACGAAATGAGTAAACGCTTGTTAATTATGTACAAGTAGTCGGAATCGTACGAGAGAGCTGTTTTTGGTTATGGAAAAGGTTTTGGCGTTTTTATTGAACTTTAGCTTCAGGGAGGGGCACTTATCAAATCTTAGTTCTCGCTACCGCTGAGCAAAGCACTTGGGACATCCGGTCACGCCAGAACGACCTTTCGCGAACTTTGATCGGCCAGTGACATGAATAACAAGAAGTTGACATTAACCAGTCAGAAAACAGCTTTCTCG